CTGGCCAACCATTCTCAGTCAGTGCCAGATATTAGAAAGAAATTTGAAAAGTTTGAGGTGGGTCCTCAAACCCACCCCCCCATTCAGGAATTGAAGAAGATGGCCTTTAAGATTTTCATATATGTGTTTTTATTTAAATTAGAAACATGCATGCTTCACATGTCAATTCCAGCTCCCTCTCCCAACCCTCCTCCCTTGTCCCTCTACCAGTCCCCCTCCCCGCCCCCAACCCAATCCCCACATCATTCCCCAGGAAGGATGAGGCCCTCCTTGGGGGGGATATCCAGAGTCTGTCATTTCATCCTGGGCAGGACCTAGGCCCTTCCCTATGTGTCCAGGCTGAGAAAGCATCCCTCCATGTGTAATGGGCTCCCAAAGTTCATTTGTATGCCATGGTGAACATTAATCTACTACCCAAGGCCCCAGAGATTTTAATGCTCAAGAGACAGCAGAATCTTCCCAACAGGCTAGGCTGCAAGATAAGGCTGTGCTTCAAGCTTACATCTTGTCTGCTGCCTTGAGGCCACCAGCAAACCCACAATGGGAACTGGGGAAAGTTGACAAGGCTCCATACCCCCAAGTCAACTCTGCTAGGAGGCTGCTACAAATGCAGCCAGGAAGGCCACTGTCACGATGTTGCTCTGACATTTGGCTGCCGATGAGGCCATGCCCCATCATTACTGTCAGCCTGGGCACTGGGACTCAGAATGCCCCCAAGGGGGCTTGGTCCCTATGTCATTCCCTGGAGTCCACCCTCAGCAACGCCAGCATCTGAGACACTTCCAGCCTTCAAATTCCTCAACCTAGCGGAGGACTGACACGGCCAAACGTGGTGACTCCCATCATCCTCTCCGAGCCTAGGGTAATGCTCTAGGTAGTGGATAAGACCATGGCTTTCCTATTGAACACAGGAACTACCTATTCTGTTTTAACCCCTCACTAGGGTCCCACAATCTCTGTCATTGGGATGGACAGGACTCCCTCCTTCCTGATTAAGACCTGTCACTTCCCTGCATCCTTGCAGGGAGATTCTGTCGCGACCACCTCGACCAGCAAGGAAGATGCAACACTCGAACTCTTCTTTAAGCAGTTTATTCAGGAACCTTGAACAAATCTTCTGACCCCGGGGAGTGCACGCCCACAGCTTAAATGGACATTGGGTAGCCAACCCTGGTAAGCCACGTGGGACATGTAGATAGGTCCACATACGTGGAAGCAAGCCTGATATCCAGTCTTGCCCAAATAAGGAGTTGTTGATCACAGAGAGTGCTTGCTATTGGGCTACCGGCGCCATCATTAGGGCGTGTTACCTAGCAGCTCTACAAGATTCTTCTCATACTTTTCTAGTCACACTCACCTGCCCTGTACCTTTGCTTGGTCGTGAAGTTCTCAGCTGCTTTGGGGCCACACTCACCTTGTCCCCCACATTCTTTCCTGACTCCTACCTTCTTCTCCCCTTAATAAGCTTCCCAGGCTCCTACCCCAGACTGTGCTGTCCCTACCATCCAGAATCCAGTGGATCCCTAAAATGGGATATCTCCACTGCTGGGGTTGCAGCTCACTACCAGCCATCCTAGTTCACATTAAGGACCTCTCCCCTCCCCCCCTCCAGACCCCAGTTTCCTCTTTCTGAAACCCACCGCTGAAGTCTCAGGTTCACAATCACTTGCCTTCTATCTCAGGGATTTTGAATTCCTGTCAACTGGCCCTGCAACACCCCCATTCTTCCCTTGTGTAAGCACTCTAGTGCTTACTTTTGGTTCAAGACCTCCACCTCATAAAAGAGACAGTTACTCCAATTCATCCCTTATACACGTCTAAAATTCCTCTCGCAACCTCCACTTTTCTGTCTTGGACCTGAAGAACGCCTTTTTCACGGTTCCTTTACAGTCTGACTCATATTTCTTCCATCTTCACCTAGGAAGACCTTAGCACCCAGTCCTCCAGACAGCCCACATGAACTGTTCTCCCTCAGGGTTTTAGGGACAGCCCTCATTCTTTCGGCTGAGCCTTGGCTTGGGGCCTTTCCACTTTTGACCCTGAGTCCTAGCACACTCCTCCAATACATTGTTGACCACCTTCTCTACAACCCCTCCCTGCCTCCGTCCCACTGGGCCATCTCTCTGCTTCTAAACTTCCTCAGCTCCTGGGATATTGCATTTCACAACTAAGACTCAGTTATGCTTTCCCAATGTGGTGTACCTGGGAGTTCAACTCAGTCCTGGTTCTAAGCCTCTCTCACCTCTGACAGAGTCCAAGCCCTGAAGGATTTACAAACCCCAACCACAATGGCTCACATTCTCTCATTTTTGGCCCTGATAGGATTCCTCTGCCACTAGATCCCTAACTTTGCCACTACAGCCAAGACCCAATACCAGGCATTCAGAGAGATCCCACCCCACCCCCCCACCCCCGCCCCATGGAGCCTCTCACCCACCCAGCCACTGACCCTTTGCCACTTCAATCTACTGTGAGATGCCCTTTGAACAGCCCCACCCTTGCCGTTCCGGATCCCACCCGGCCTTATACAGATGGAAGGTTGGTGGTGACCACAGGGGTTCTAGTCCAATAGGTTGGGCCTTTGAGTCAGGCCATTGCTTTCTGTCCAAACAACTAGACCTCACCCTCTATGGATGGCAGCAGCTGAACTCACCCAGGAGACTCTCAAGATCACCCTGTTCCAGGTAATCAGGGTATACCTCACCTCTTAGACCTTCTGAGTCATTCTTCTGTCTCCCTCTTTGGACCCTAACGAGTTCAAGTCTTTCATTTATTGTTTCTAGAGAACCCCCAAAATTTCCTTGTTCTCCAGTCCTGCACTGAACCCTGACCCCCCCAACTCACCCTTTTGTAGACAGAAGTTCTCTTATAGACTTCCACTAACACAGTTGAAGCCGCCCGCCTGCCAATGGGAACCTCTTCACAAAAAGTCAAATTAATCACCTTGACTAGAGCACTCCAAATAGCCAAGGGACAATGGGCTAACATTTATACTGACTCTAAATATGCATTTTTAATAACCCATTCCCATTCTGTGCCTTGGAAGGAAAGGGGCTTCCTCATTACCAAGGGCGCATCCATAGTTAATGAACCCCTTATAACCAAGCACTTGGAGACCCTACAGCTGCCTGCAGAAGTAGCCATAATTCACTTCCAGGGATACCCGTCCTCCAAGGCCTTGGGCAATGTCAAGACTGACTCAGAGCTCAGGGACTTGCCCAGCTCCAGTGTATCAATGAAACAGACTGTTTTTGACACACTCCTATCAGCCCAGCAAGCAACCCCGAAGAGGAGGAGCTCCTGAAATAAGAGGACACATGGACAAAGGATAGATGGTTCTACTTAAATAACTGCTCATCCTCCCTCAGGACCAAGCACTGTGCATCATTTCAGACATCCACCAGATCTTACACATAGGCCCCAAAGCATTTTTCCATTTCTCAGAGCCCTTCTTTGACCCCACCTGTCTTCCAGCCCACTCCTATCAGATGTGCGCTAAAGGGGACCCTCCAGATACATCAGCCCCTCCCCATACCACCTTCCAGGACATTACCTGATAAAGACAGGCAGGCAGTCTTCACCCACATGCCCACTCATAAAAAGCTGTTACCTCCTAACTCTGTTGACACTTTTACAGGATGGATAGAAGCACTTCCCACTTCCAGCGAGACAGCAGATAGGGTGGCTCAGACACTCCTGGACCCCATCATCCCTCTCTTTGGAGTGCCACAGATTATACATACAGACATAGCCAACCTTCACTTCCAGGGTCATGGAGCTCGTGTCGGAAGCTCTTGACATTTTCTGGAAGTTCTACATCCCCTAGAGTCCACAATCCTCAGGAAAGGTGAAAAGGTCAATGGACTCATCAAACAACAGCTCACCAGGTTCTCCATAGAAGTCAGGTTATCTTGGCCCTCCCTTCTTCCCATTGTCCCTTACCCACCTCCAGGCCACCCCTCGTTCTCCTACAGGCCTAAGTCCTTTTGAGCTCCTTTATGGAAGGGCCTTCCCCTTTAATCACCACCCCCTGGATCAAACTCCTCCACTGGCTGGCTGCCTTCCCTTCTGAGGCCCCTTCTCACTTCACATACTGACAGCTATCTTCCTACCCCACCTGCCCCTGAGCCTGCCCCACTCTCCACAGGGGACCGAGTAGTCCTCAAACAGCTAGCTCCTAAGGCTCTTGAGCCCTAATGGTCAGGACCCCCACACTGTGATCCTCAACACCCCTTCGGATGCTAAGCTCCTGGGACATCTATGCCCCGCTTGTGGGACCGTTACTAATAATCTATTTTTCTTCTAGTAACCTGCCCTCTCAGCTCCCTCAAGGAACAGATCCCTAATGACTCCAGGATGGCAGCTAACTGAAAGCTTCTTCACCTAAACCTCCCGCTGAGCATGAACCCACCGACTCCCCAAGTGACTCCCCAACTCCCTCTCCCCACATTGTCCCATGCCCACAGGAAGTAGCCAGACATGAACCTGGCACCCATATACCTGAAGAGTCTGAGACATTCAGGTGGAGCTCCGCCTCGGGGCCTCCTCACTTCAAAGCCTGCCCAGTCTCAGAAACCCCACTAAGCGGTGGCTCCCCCTCCCCAGAGATGCCCATGACCTTGCCTGCTGGGTATTAAATGACCTGTTAAGAAAAGGCCATGTGGTTTTCAGGTTCCTTATTCCTATCTCCATTCTGGGGACCGGGAGATCATCTGGGAGTGTTTCGCTCATCAAGCCTGTTCTTTTAATTCTTAATTCAGCTCGGTTTGATTGGCTGAATCAACGGAGAGACTTAATATCGGGGTACAGAAGCCTTTCAATGTGGCATCTGCAAGGCCGTTTCTGATATATCAAGTAACCTTTTTGTGAAAGTATCCTTAATTTCTTGCTGTACATCATAAACCATTTGAGAAGAATTAGGGTGACCCATCAAATGCATCTTAGCCTTTCCCAATCATACTTGTTTTCATTAAATTTAAAAAATGTAATACAATAGGATGTAACATTTCAATCACAGTTTAATTTTATCTACTTCTAACAACATAACAACTTGCCTCTAGTAAGCTAATAATTAACTATCTCACTATTTTTATGTTTTCTTCAGTCTTAATTTCTGCTGAATGTTTATTCCAGGCCCTAACAAACTCAGCAGTTTCTATTTCTTCATGAACGGCCACTCCGGCTGTTGCAGCAGTCGCAGTCAATGCAATCATTCCCATAATAACGGCAATAATAAGTCCAGCCGTTTGAAGTGTTCTTCTAATTCTTTCAGCGAGCTTTTGTATTAGGATCATCTGGGTATGGGCTCAACAACTTCACCGCTATCCAGATTGCTGGCCTTGCTCTATGCCTGTATAAAATGTTGAAATACTAGAATTAACATAGGTATGAAGGGTACAGTGTCACAAGAGATGCTGTAATTATTAGGGTGCCATTGTAAGACTCCTAGCAAGTAATGTAATGGTATACATGCTATAAAATGATGGCTTTGATTTAGTCTAAAGGTCAAAGTATACTTATCATCCTTAATGTTTAGGAGGGTGGAAGGCACTGGCTAATTTCCACAAGTTAGTCTGAACTGAATTGCTAAATTGCAGGAGAGGACTTAACATTCCAATTCCATGCCATTGAATAGGTTGGTTAATAGAGGGTCTAATTTCTACAGATCCACTTAAACTATACCATGGGCATCTTAACTTTGAGTGGGAATATTTTCCTTAAGGGCTCCAATCAAGGACATCTCAGTGGAAGGTATTAATTAGCACTTGAGGTTTCTAACTCTTACATTGTAGCCAATACACACAGTCAGACTCCTTGTTGGTAACCATCTCACAGAAAGGTAGACTGATGGAACTAGTAGCATTAATCTCCTGTCCTTCAAAACAAGATGCATGAGGCATATAAAAACTTATTATGATAATCCTGGGTAGTATTGTCTATAGATAGCTACACTTGAAAGGTTATATTTGGACATTGAATTCCATGTCCCATACAAACAGGAATTTCTTGTACTTCCACGGAGATAATTTTTATTCTCTTTATCCTCTTCATTGGCTGAGCAGTACCTGGGTTACCTAAGGACCAGGTAGCCAAGAAGATTCATTAACCACCCAAGGATTATTCATATGTCCCCTGCTTACTGCTAAGGTAATAGGAGGATGGGGAATGTATGCCCAGTAACTATGACAGCCCTTTTTACCTGTGTAGTGACCACTGACAGCCATAGCAAGGAACAAACTTGTAGCATTCAAAGGTTTGTCACACAAACTCTGTCCTTTTTCAAGCCCCACAATATTGGTGTGTCAAATGTATATTGGGTGTGACTTCACACAGGTTCTCTAGTAAGATGAAGCAGGGGCACCTTAGGGATGATTTTAGCCTTTCAAGCTGCAGGGGGACTCAGACTCTCAGGGACTGAGACAATCTTCCCTAGCCCAGGGCCTTTTATTTGTTTTTTAAGTGTTATCCTACTTACACCTTTAGCAAGTTCATTTCCATACCCCAAAACATCTAAATCTCTCAAAGGGACAAGACCAAATGCAAATTCTCAATGAAGGAATATCCCAGTTTGCTGGATTTTGGCCAACCAAGCTTTGCATAGGTTTTGCACCTTTGGGAAACCTTCAGACATGTGAATGAGTGACAGAAGCCATAATGCCCCCAGGAAACCTAACCCTTGTCCAGGCTAAGGTCTTAGAATCATTCAACCCTCCTTTAATCCAGCCACACAACCCACACTCATCACTTCACAAATAGCTCTAGTGTCTATAGGGCTGCCCCTTGCTTACCAAGCTGGTGGCAAACACAATGATACCGCTGCAGGGACAACAAGCTCAAGGTGATGTCCAGCAGTTGACCAAGTGACAGCAGGTTCACCGCCCACTTGTGAGATGGTTTCCTGCAGGGTTTATTTCCGAAGCTAATTTTCTCAGTACGGTAGTGGACAAGCTCCATAGGGTGCTTGTGCAGAAACGGGTGCCGGTGTTTCCTGGCAGTCTTACAAAGACCTGCTCTTGTAGCAGGTGAGTGAGAACTCTTACCACACGTATATGTGGGAGAGGTGCACTGTTCTGTACAAGAGGCAAATACTGATACCGCTGCAGGCACAGCAAGATCAGGTAGATGTTCAGCAGCTGACCAAGTGACAGCAGGTTCACCGCCCACTTGTGAGATGGTTTCCTGCAGGGTTTATTTCCGAAGCTAATTTTCTCAGTACGGTAGTGGACAAGCTCCATAGGGTGCTTGTGCAGAAACGGGTGCCGGTGTTTCCTGGCAGTCTTACAAAGACCTGCTCTTGTAGCAGGTGAGTGAGAACTCTTACCACACGTATATGTGGGAGAGGTGCACTGTTCTGTACAAGAGGCAAATACTGATACCGCTGCAGGCACAGCAAGATCAGGTAGATGTTCAGCAGCTGACCAAGTGACAGCAGGTTCACCGCCCACTTGTGAGATGGTTTCCTGCAGGGTTTATTTCCGAAGCTAATTTTCTCAGTACGGTAGTGGACAAGCTCCATAGGGTGCTTGTGCAGAAACGGGTGCCGGTGTTTCCTGGCAGTCTTACAAAGACCTGCTCTTGTAGCAGGTGAGTGAGAACTCTTACCACACGTATATGTGGGAGAGGTGCACTGTTCTGTACAAGAGGCAAATACTGATACCGCTGCAGGCACAGCAAGATCAGGTAGATGTTCAGCAGCTGACCAAGTGACAGCAGGTTCACCGCCCACTTGTGAGATGGTTTCCTGCAGGGTTTATTTCCGAAGCTAATTTTCTCAGTACGGTAGTGGACAAGCTCCATAGGGTGCTTGTGCAGAAACGGGTGCCGGTGTTTCCTGGCAGTCTTGCAAAGACCTGTTCTTGTAGCAGGTGAATGAGAATTCTTACCACACGTATATTTGGGAGAGGTGCACTCTTCTGTGCACGTGAGACAGCAGCTTGCAGATCTCTTTACTTGCCTGCAGTCCTAATATATGAATTGTTCTCAAGCCTCACTGTAGCTTCTCTATTGACAGTGAGAACAGATGGGTTTGGAGAAGGATGTAATATGTTCACTAATAGAGCCCAACACAGCATCCGTGGATCATGAATATTAAGGGGGGGATGAAAGTGGCACTTTTTGGTGCCACCTCCAGGGATTTGGGGGACGGCACGGGAACACTTATTTCTTGTGCTCCCATGCAGGGCATGGGGCTTCTGCCGGCTCAACTGGATCTGGAAACAGAATGAGTTTAGTCAGGAGACAGAGATGAGGTTTCACCAAGTTTTTGTTACAGTGTTAGATATTTCCTGGAGGATATATCTAACACCCACACCCCAGGTGCCTTCTTTCCTCTATCCCATGTTTCGGGAAAGTTTCAGCTGGCTTCATTCTGTTTCTGTGTCTTGTGTCACGTTGGGAACAACACGTCTTAGGGACTGAGCTCTTCTGTCTCAATACAGATCTCCTGCTTGAGCAGCTGGTCACAAGCAACCCTCACAGCTGCTCCCCAGTAAAAGGACCAAATCAGATGGTGTACTAAGTCTCAAATGATAGTCTTCCTAGGAATTTTCCTGTGAAGTGCTCATTTCTGGCCCCCTCCCTGTTGGATCTAAGACTGTGTGAGCAGCTTTGTGAGGGAGTTAAGTATGGCCATGAATCAAGGGTATTGATCACTCTCCCTAAAGTTGCTACTGTTGAGATATGGCTTTAATCACAGAGGTCAAACTTGAGGAGCTCCTGAACTTCCTTATGGCTGGTTCTATAAACTGCTGCCCACTTGTTGGACATGAAATTTTAGGGTTGAACTCCAGTCCTTGCAAGCACATTACTAGCTGCCTACTTTCTGGATGTGAAAAAGGACATCCAGAGGCTTGGTGATGCCTGATCTTATACAAAGACTGATGCTTTTGCATCCTGTATCTATGCCATCAGACATACAAAATGATTTTTAAGGCCTCACAGATTTTTTTGATTCAGTGATGCATGTTCATTGTTTTTTTCCAATGTCAAAATAGATCCTCTATATATGTGACTCTCCACAAAAGAAAGCATATAATAAATAACTAAAATTCTTATAAATGCAAGAACAGAGAGGACCTGGAGACAGGAAAACATACATGAACTGGTTTGACTATTTAGACAATAATGAACTACTTTAAAATCTTGTGCAGATAATGCAGGCATTACTTTTTCCCTGGAATACACTATCTTCCTTTTTTGAAGGATGACAACGAGCAAAGTATTAAACAAGAAATTGAATCCTTGTGTTGACACTTAGACAACACAGTATGGAATGTGAAATGACCACTCTGTCTGAGCCCCTAAAGGCATCACTTTGCTCCTGTGATGCAGATGTGGCATGGCTTCTAGCATCTCAAAGCCTATTGAGCTGACTTTCCCACCCCTTTGCCACCCCTAAAGAGGGGTGACTCACCACTCATGGGTCCCTTCCCATTGAATCTGATTAGGGATGCATTGCTTACCACTAGGGCATGCCAGGTTGCTGGTGCTCGCGATGGCCACATTATCCTTAGAGTCAGAGTAGTTATTGCCATAGTCTGAAATAAAGTCAGCACAGAAAATAACTTAAACACACATTATTGCCTCTGGTGGGAGAAGTCACACTGCCTCACAGAAGGACCACTCAGCTTCCCTTTGATTCATATCATTAAATGAGAATTAGAATGGGTGTTAAAATACATGTTAAAACTCTGGGGTTATAATTGTACTGATGACTATGTAATGTACACTTCGTGTAATAAAGATATTGCAAAGCATAATATTTTTTACTTATGAGATGCAAAACAATCTATGACTATACTAAATATCTCAAAGCAATTATAGAAGCAATCTCTTTTGATCAGAAAAATACTGAAATAAGTGTTATAATTAAAAGACAGATTTCTACCGGGCGGTGGTGGTGCATGCCTTTAATCCCAGCACTCGGGAGGCAGAGGCAGGCAGATCTCTGTGAGTTCGAGGTCAGCCTGGTCTACGAGTTCCAGGACAGCCTCCAAACAATACAGAGAACCCCTGTCTTGAAAAACTAAAAAAAAAAAAAAAGGGAGATTTCTATCACTTCTTCAGGCCCTTTTCAAATCAGAAAAATAACTCTATTTTAAAAATCAGTCAAACTGTTTTTCTCCACCACAGATGAAATTACACACATAAATTACATTTACTAAGCACATATGGCTTTAGTTTTTATTTGCTTTCACATTATTGTTAATATGATTATTATGGTACCTATGTATGTACAGGAAGTGTGTGTTAGAGTATATGCCATGGCACAGGTGTGGGGTTCAGGAGACAACATGGAGGAGATGCTTCTTTCTTTTCAGCTTTATGAAGGCTTCAGGAATCCATCTCAGGTTACGAGTTATAAAAGGAAAGTACATTAAAAATACTACAAAACATCTCCATTCTTTTCATGGAGGAGATGCAGTAAAACCTACAACTACTATGAATAATTCATACTAAACACTGAATTTCCACAGAACCATTTGTGGTGCAGTCATTTTGTGAAGTATATAGGACGACAATGTTTGGTTGCTCAGAGTCTTTCTGGGAATTGACACCTTCAAAACCCAGTCGTCTCATGCGGTCGTGAACTGCAATGCATTCACAACAAAAACAATTATGTCAGCTGAACTACATTTTAAAACTAGGAAACCTGATAATAGTTGTGTTTAAACATTTGCCATATTTATCTGATTCTGAATATCACTACATTTTAAAAGTAGCTATAATATATCAATTATTTCTCTGTCTGGGTTCCCTTTGCTGTGCCATCTTGTATTCTTTGGGTTAAATAGCAGCCCATGTTCATTCCAGGCAACTCACACTAAAGTGAACGAAGGATGGTGATCTGGCACCCACGGATCACTTAGGATAAGTAAAAGGACTCACACAAGACATTCCACAAGGATGAGCCATCATATGAACACCAAAGTGCTACTCTCAGCTCTTATATGTAACTACCCCAGGCTGTTTAGTTCACAGAGCTTCAGAACTTCTAAGGTGACACCTACATGGACTTTGAATATCACTAAGGATATACCCATTACTAAGTGGCTTTAGGGCAGGTTAAGAAGTGATCCAATGCTCACAGTGTTATCATCACAAATGGTGAGACTCAATAATCCTTATCCCATTTGGATAGTTCTATGTGCTTTGAACATCATGCCAATGATGAACTCTAATGTTTTAGCAGCAAGCTATGCCCTGGGCTATGTAATCTTAGATTCACCTTAGCATATGTGTTTCTATAGGCTTCAGAAATTCAGAAATTTGCACACAGATGACCTGTCTGGTATGGTGGCTAATGACCCCAAAGCCTTAATTGTGGGCACAGGTCAAGTTTAGAACCTCAGCTTAGCCCTTTTACCCAAGACAGTGGTTCAATTTGTGACCCATAAGTCCTTTGGGGTCACATATCAGGTATCCTGCATATCACATATCTAAATTATGATTCATAATGTAGCAAAATTACAGATATGAAGTAACAACAACATAATTTTATGGTTGGGGGTCATCCCAACATGAAGAAGTGTATTAAAGGGTTGCAGCTTTAGGAAAGGTGAAAACTGTCCTAAGAATATCAGAGTTCAGGTATATTCATCACTATCTCTGATGCCACCTGGGGAAGGCATGTCATAACTAAGGGACACATGTCTGTGCTGTTGGTACTTGATTTAATGAACATAGGAACGTGATGTAAATGCTCTAGCAGTGTCACTTCTGTGAATCTTGCAGTGATTGCTATTCTAGGACTTATCTATGCTGATCCTGGAAATATTAATTTTAATTTCACATAGACTCAGGTTTGGAAGATTTAGATAAATGTTTAAACATAGCTCCTATATTGGCAAGAGTAAAGTAAGTCCAGCATTGTCCTCTAGGACAATGGTCATGAGAATACTTACTCTCCAGAGACACGTTAATGTTTTTATATAACAAATTAGCTTGTCCATTCTATTTATTTATGTGTGCCTAAACAATAAATATTTTTAATATTCCAAAGATTTTATTTGCATGACATATGTTCATCTAATTGACCTCAAAATAGAGTCCAGAGTCTCATATGCATGTTTTCTATAAGTGGTAGCATGAAGAAAATAACTAAAATAATTACTAATGAAAGCAATGGGAAGAAAGGAGGCAGAAAAACTGGGCTTTGCTTTGTTAACTTAAATGAAAAAAAAACTACATAAATTTTTTGACCAAACCACATAGTCAGTCATTTATTTGTATTTGGAATTTATTGTATTCCTTTGTGTAAAAAGGATGACAAAGAAGCAATAAAAACAAGCATGTCATTGTATTTATATATGCCATGACATGGTCAATATACATAGCTGTGTGTGTTCTGGTTTAAGTGGTATGCACGTGATGCCTCATAGGAGATTTTGAGATCTTTGGGGTGTGGGGCCTATCCTGAGTTAATGAGTCATTAGGTTCAACCTTCAGGTTTTGGAGCCCAGCTCCTCTTATGCTTATTTTGTTTCCTTAGTATGGATGCAATATGACAAATGGTGTCCTACAGATGAGGCTACCCATACTTCCCTGCCTGCTGCCAGCTCCTCCCACAAGTCACAATAAACACTTTCTTCCTTTAGTTATTCCTCTTAGGTCATAGCAAGGAATGATTACATGAGAGTCTCATCGTGGCTTCTGTCTAGACGGCCTCACACTGCAGTTTACCTACAGGTTAACACGGTCTTTGTTTTTTAGCTAGGTCTAACTAGACAAGTCATTCTCAGCATCATTATCATCATCCACACTCATGGCTGAAAGAAAGCCAGGGAGAGGGTGAATCTTACATAATGTTTGCAATAGGTGAGGCCACACGGCCTCACCCAAGAACCAGCTCTGTTTTCCTTTGGGTCATATCATGCCGTCAGAACCAAAATAGGCATCTAAGTGTGGTTTTATGCCTTGTGGTTGTAGTTCTACTGGTGGACTAGAGAAATTAACAATTCCCATTTTAACAGTACTGTAAGGCATCTTCATTCTTTTTGTAGATGAGATGCTATATAATCTATAACTACTGATAATAACTCCAATTATTGAATTTCCACAGTACCATCATTGGTGTCACAGGCTTTGTCTGTCATCTTCACCATCGATGGTTCAGGTCTGGTGCATGGGCTTATGTAGCACCTAAGGCCCAGTTTTCTCAAGGTAGCAGTTACTGGAATGTATTCACAACAAAAATGTTTAGTTACTCTGAATGCATTAAAATACAAGAACATACAAACAAGAACCTGGTAACTGTTGTATGTTTAACATTCTGTCTCATCATTGATTTGCAACCACACTCATCTGATTCAGAATATTACCTCTGGAAAATTATAAAAAAGCATTGTCCACTTAATGGATATAACATGATCAGTGTAGGTGAGATCTCAATCCACATGGATAAGGCAGTATCAACAGAAGGGCAATGTGGCTATGTGAGACGGCCGGCATCCAAATCACTCTAAGACTCATGTATGCACACTGAAATCTGTGATTGCTGAATTCTGCACTCTTGTCATTTGACACTACAATTGCCTAAGGACTCATAGCATAACTCATGAGGCTAAAAAGGCAAATGAAAGCAAAGCCCTGCTAGCAAGCCCTGGTGCCACAAAGATGCTCTACGGTGTTGCTGACACCAGAACCACCAGCTGGGTGGTGATGATTAGAACCAGAAATGGTCTTTGGATACCTGCTGGAGAGAGCATATGCTTGTTTCTATTATTTACACAATGTGACTTAGTGTTCACCGACATATCTAGCATCACCTCACAGAAAGGACTAGAAAAGGGGTCAATCGACATCTACTTCTGACCTAAAGGCCCTGTGTTACTTACCTACTAATGACACTGTGCCCAAGTAGATAATAGAAAAAAAAATAACAGGACAGATGTTGTACTGAAAAGTAAGGATTGTAAAATCCCTACTAAAAAAAAGTCACCATTCCTCCCAAAAAAGTGGTCTAAGGGATCATGTTTTGCTTAATTATGGCATTCATTCATCACCACTTTATATGGGAAGCTCTTCTCGGTGAATCTTTCAGGCATTGTCTTATGTTAGGCTGGCTAGGAAATGCCAGCAACTGAAGATGATATTATGTTCCTAACAACCATGCCCACAGACACCTTAAGCACTGTTGGATATCGATCCCAGAGCCTCCTGGATGAAACCTGGTATTCCGATGCCTGAGCAAAACCACAGACTTAATACACCTTCGCTTTATCTGTCTTTCACAGTTGTGAACAACTGCTGCCTGATCCACAGAGGCTACCTATAGTTTTCGATCACTGAGACAGAAAAGATACTGTGTTTTCTATAAGCAGGGTTATTTTTGAGTATATCCTAGGAAGCTGAATGGATTTGTACAAAATGACAGTTCATGTGTCCTTGGTGAGAAAATTTGAGCTTATAACTAAAAATGTCATTTTATACCAAAGATCTGTGAACATTTGCTATTGTATGGCCTAGATATCCAGCTTGGTCATTCACATCCCTATCTTAGTTGGATCTCCTGTAACAGGATACATTGAGAAATTAATTTACCATAAATGGCTGTGATAAACTTTGAGCCAAGAAATGTAGGCAAAGCATGACCTTGAGATTTTTTTCATTGACAAATTTGGCATGGGTAATTGGAAATCTTTTGGGTGAAAACACAAAGATATTTTCTGATACAAGAAATCCCGAGGCAACAGGATTGAATGAGAGAACTACACACACATGACAATGATGTGTTTGTTGGGATACCTGTGGTTAGCTTAATTGAGTTCACAATCTCATTGCCATTAGATTGCTTTGAAAAGAATGAGAAGCAGGGCGTTGGTGGCGCACGCCTTTAATCCCAGCACTCGGGAGGCAGAGGCAGGCGGATCTCTGTGAGTTCGAGGCCAGACTAGTCTACAGAGTGAGTTCCAGGACAGCCTCCAAAACAATACAGAGAAACCCTGTCTTGAAAAAAAAAACCCAAAAAAAAAAAAAAGAAAAGAATGAGAAACTAATAGGATCTCACAGAGCCTGTGGCAGCATGCGTACATAGATGTATACCAAACAGGGTCCTAGAGCTGAGAGGGGGAAGTAAACATGTGTTCCCATTACTGAAAAGGAAGTCATCTGCAGCTGACAAGCTCTCACAAAGGAAAAAGTAGTTTTCTCCAGTGGAATCTTCATGGGTATACCAATCACACTCCAGGGCAGAGCCCATGCCCAACAGTAGATGGCCAACACAAAATGAAATCAATGCTATACTTGTAGAATTTTTTTGTCTCATACTGCTTTGTTTGGGCGTTTTCTGTCTTACAGACCTTTTGCTTGTATATTATGGTTTCTGATTATGTGTTTATATGTGATGCGTATGTATTTAATGCACTTCTCCTTTGTTTTAATTATATTTAGTCTTTCCCCCCATACATGTTTGTTTCCTAAAGAGAGAGAGGAGGCATGGAGTTGGATAGGTACAGAGGTGGGGAGGATTTTAAAAGAAATGGAAGAGGGGCATATGATGATTTCTTAAAAACTGAAAAAAATTTGTATTTAAACAAATAAGCATAAGGAAAGAGTGGTGAGCCAGAGACAATGATTATGTGCACAATTCTCAACTACAGTGTGTCTTAAGAAAGTCATTCCAGGATACATACGGAATCTGCGCTTCCTTGACTGGACCTGCAATTTAGAGAAAAGACACTTAGTCCCGGATCATACTCAGTTATGTTTACACAGGTCTTTGGTTTTTCCTGTGACTTAGGACAGTGGTAAACAGGACTGGGAAGGACAGCCAATTTGAAGACTCTATATTGGTCTGTTATTTGACATTCTTACAAAATGCCTGAGGCTGAGTACTGTGTGGGGGAAAAAAGTACTTTTCACACCTTTGCCCACTCAGCCTACATCACCCCTCTGTTCTCTACTAAGCTTCTTTGAAATGTGGCAGAGAAACATAATGACAACCTGGTATTGTGAGATGAATCTACTGTAACTTCACTCTTTAAGGGTCTCACTGCCCGACATCCCTTAATGGATATCAGAAACTTTTGTCACTTCAATATTTGGGGGAACATATTCCAACTGTGTTAACCTTAGGAGACCCCAGCAGAAAGACAAGAGAACACTCGCAGAAGAAACAGGAACTTTTCTAAACAATATGCTTGGCAGCTTCTTGTAATGTTTTCATCTATACAGGAAGTCATCTGTGAGAAGAAAAGCTCCTGACACGCACTATGGAATCTGACGTGGTTTCCAATTTCCTCTCATGCTGTGTCATATCATGGGTGGCTTGTGCCCACTTCCTATGTAAACGCTCTAGTAACTAGTGTGCAAGCAGTTTTATTATTGAGTTCTGATGCCCATAAAAAATAGAGTATCATGAAAGTGACCTTCCTATGTTAAAAAAAGGAAAGACCATCTTACCACAACCGGGGATGGTTTTGCTCTTTCTTCTAAGCTAGTTCCTTGGTCCTCCTTAGGTAATCCTAGGGAACAGAAACGAATTTTCAGCTCATGACACCACTTGCTTTATGCCAAGGGTTTTTATGTTGGTGGGGATAATGGCATGTGGATTTAGTCCATATGCCTAGCCTTGGTGCATATATTTAACAAGGATAGTTGAAGAAGTACAAGACAATTTTCCCTGCTAGGGAAAGGGAAAACAAGGCAAGATCTCAACAGAAATGAAGAAGAGATGTTTTGTTCTCCTAAATAAAGTAAGTCTAAAGCACTGTGAGATAGTCATCTTGGATTGGGTTAACACTCGAATAAATATTAAATGTCAGATTTCTATTACGTTCTGCCAATTTCAAGTCTTTCTAGATCCTTTCTAACCTCTTTAAGCAACTACAAATCAACATGCACAGATTCCATATTCATTTACTATTATCTTATTTTAAAAATTACTTGTTTATTATTGCCCCTGTATATGCTTATACAAAGTGAGTGTATAGACATGCATGCTATGCAACATCTGTTCAGGGGCCAAAGAACAAGTATGTAGAGCTCAATCTCTCCTTCTACCTTCATATGGACCTTCATACCACTCATGTCCCAAGCACTGGAAGAAATACACACTTATCTTTTGAATCATATAGCCAGCCCTAGCATATAGAATCTTAATCTTGAAAATGTACACATTGTTCAAGAAAAAATTCATATAATATCAGGAACATGATGTAATTACAGTAAATTATTCACTCTTTGATACATAATACTTTATTGATAAAGGCAAGATACTGACATTATTACATTTAAAAAATAACCACCACACATTGCTTTTTCTCCTGCTAGTTTTTCTTTCCTGGGCCATCCTTTGTATTCATTCTGTGAGGTGAATATCCAGATTCAGACTAGACAACTCACATTAAAGCAGAGAATATTGATCATCTGTCCCCTGGATTTCTACTTGCTTCAGCAATTTAGAAATTTATAGAGAAGATGGAGTCTTTTGTATGGTTATTAATGTCCTCATAGCCTTAATATAAGTATGTGATAATAGTTTGGAACCTCAATCAATGGCCACACATCTGATTCTCACCTTGGCACTTTCACCTAAAACACTATAACCTTGGGTCTATTCATTATCACATCTCTTCCATGCTTGTGCATCATCAGTGAAGTAAACAATGCCTGTGTCCGTATTGTTACTGAGGGACTTAGTGAACATCACATATGTGGTGTATATGCTCAGAAAGGCCAGTTGTCAGTAAAATGTAGTCATAGACTGTGCTCTTTAACATACTTCACAGATTCACAAAAGCCCTATTACAAATCCTCAAGCTATTGTTCTAGATATATCCCTGCTTTTCCTAAAAAAATGTTTAACTTTACAGACTTTTGTTGTGCAGAGGCAGCTAAAACTTTAAAAGGAATTCTTGTGCTGTTCTGTGTTGGCCTAGGTGCATATTCAGATGACATTTCTAAAGTAAGGTCAGAATTGTTCTTCAAAATTGTCTAATTTTAGTCATTAGATCTTCAATGAAATGGACCATAGACTAGTAGGCTAACATGTTTAAAATTTCTGGTAGCCTTAGACTTGGAAAATCCACCATTTTACATTACAACTGCCTCAGAGATGTGTCCATGTCTCTCTTGAGCCATTTATTGGTCAAGCCCTAGGAAAGCCTGTATGCTTGAAAGGAAGCACTGTATCAGCTGTGCTAGCCACTTACCTATTGAGAAGGATGCAAAGACCCAGGAAGTAATAATCATCCTCAGTGAAAGACAGTTCCTTTCACTTAACAAATGAGGTCTTTTCATTTGCTTTCGGTGCCATTAGTCATGCACAACAATCTTAAATCTACACAGATGTCTTCGTAATATATTTTCATTTTGTCTAAGTTCCCTAGTATCAGATTCCCTGTATCAGCTGTGCAGTCTCAGCAAAAGGAAGTACACAGGAAGTTACTAAAATACTTATTAATGAAAGCACAGGCAGGATAAGGACACAGGAAAACAATCAGGCTTCAGATCAATTGCCAAGATTATGACAAAATATATTAAACTCTTGATCAGATGTCATGATCATTTCTTTGTACTTGGAACATACTCTACTTCTCTGAGAAAGAATGACAAAGAGGCAAAAATAAGAAAGCAGGTTCTTACATTTTTGCCTAGAGTCCCGTTTATGTGAAATGAAGTGGTCAGTCTACACAAGGGCTTAAATCATATGCTGTGTGTTCTGGTTTGATTATGAAATGTCCTGCATAGCCTCATGTGTTTGGACACTTAAGTCTCAGCCTAGGGTACTGCTGAAGAAAGGCTTCAGGAGATGGAGCATCACTGTAGAAAGACCTCTGCTTACTTCATTAATTCCCCCCTTCCTGAATACAGGTATGTGCACTCACATACAGATGCAATGTGTAATACACCTGCTGAGACACTATCCCTGACACAATGATCCCCTTGTCCTAATTGCCAAAAGAAAACTTTCCTTCATTAAAATTCTTTTTCCTCGGTTACTTAGTCACAAAAATAAGAAAAGTCACTAAGCACAAAGATTGAGTAATAGAGTTTCATTATCATTTCTGCCCATCTAGAAGTTCTTAAATTGACTTTTTCTCTTCTCTTGCCTCCCAAGCAGAAGGAACAACTTGACTGCTGATAGACCCTTTCATTGAATTGACCAGGAACACCAGTACCTACCATGGTCTTCGCAATTCACAATGGTCTTAGGAGTCAACTCACTTGCAGCATTCTTATCCACAACAACAGCGTCTGGAACCATGTCTGTAGAGAGTAACTTACATACTACTGTCTATAGCAGGTGAAGCCACACTACCTCAGATAAGAACCCGCTCACCTTTCCTTTGGTTCAGACCATTCAGTGAGAACCACAATAGACCTTGAAATGTATTTTTAAACTCTATGGTTGCAGTTCTACTGTTGAGCTGGAGAAATGAACACTTCACACCTCAAAAATCTATAAGACTTTTTCCATCTTTTTAATAAGAAATATAGACTGTGGTTTGAATCAGAAATGTCATATATAGGTTCAGGTATTTGACCATCCGGTGCCCAGTTGGTGGCACCAGTAGGGAAAGTTGTGGAACCCTTAGAAGATAGCCTTGCTGAATGAATTATGTTACTGCTGGTAAGATTTGAAGCCTCATAGCCTCATCCTAATTCTAGTTCCTGATTGTAGTTGAACATGTGAGTTCTCAGCCTAAAGGTATAAATACAACTTGTTCAATCCATCTGATGCTATGGTTTCAGGGCTGACCTTCAGAGTATTCATCTCTGAAGAAGACTGTTTCTCCAGGTCTGAATATTGCTTAGTTTTGTGTATTTTTTTCCTATGGGTGGTGTTCCATGAGATTCCCCACTTCCACATTAGCATGTCTATTGGTGTTGTACTTCAAGTCTTGGTTAGGCAGCCATACTGTTGAGGGATCATGGGTGAAGCTTCCCTGCCATTTATAGTAGACAACCTCACAGCAGATTTCCTGATCTTCTGGCTCTTACAACTTTTCTATGCCTTCTTCCTTAAATGTTCACTAGGCCTTGGGTGTATTGTAGATGTATCAGTTGGGGCTGGGCAGTTTCCTGGAATTTTTCAAGTTGAACTAAATGCATTTTGCACTATAATATGGTCATTAGCCTACAGAGGCCAGGAAGTGGATTGTGGTGGTGTATTGAGAAATGTATCACATTGGTTCCTGTAAGTGAAACCTCCGTCCCTGGTAGTTGATAATGCTTGGGAAAGTTGTAGCATGTTCAGGAAGTGGAGTGTTGCTGGAGAAATGCACTACAGTAGGAAGGCTTTGAGAATTTATAGCCCCACACAACTTCCGGTTTGATGTTTAATGTTTACTGTTGAAAATGTGACCTCTCAGCCTACTGCTCCTGACTGTGTCTTCACTTGCTATCATGACGTTCACCCACCATGATTTATATTTATCCCTCTGGAAACATAAGTAAACACAAACTTTCTTCTATGAGTCGCTTTTGGTCATAGTGTATTATCACAACAACAGAAGAGTAACTAGTACAAGTATTATCACCAATGACTATTAAACACTCCAATTAGTTATCGAATATCCACAGTACCTTTGCTGATGCCGCAGGCATTTTCTGTCTGATCGGCAGTTTTTATTTCAGGACCCACCCTGGAAGACTTGGGATGCTTCAGCCCCAGCCTTCTCATTAGGGCATGAACTGGAATGCATTCACAATAGAAAGAGGTCAACTCAGTTGCACTTAACATGTAAACAAATAAAACCCCCAGAAAAGTTAACACCTGTTCTATGTATAAACATTTAATCTTGCTAGCAATTTTCAAGTATTACTGATTCAAAATGTCACCTCTGGAAGATCACAAACATAAGTCTCCACTTAACACAAGTCTGGCATGGTCAGTAAGGTCTCCATTCACGTGAATGACACAGTACTGACAGTATCTCACTGACTCAGCATGTGAGATAGCCTGCATCAAAATCACTTTGAGGCCCATGCAAACCTAGTGAAATTTATGTAGCTACTTACTATACCAGTTCTTGACAGTATGACACTCCAACTTCCTAAGTACTTACATTAACCGATGAATCTAAAAACGTAAATGAACATATAGACTTAAAGAATAGCACTAGGTCCAGACAAGTGCTCTGTGGGTTTTGCTGAATGCTAAAAGAATCAGCAAGATAGCAGTGGTTGGATCCAGAACCAGCTCCACAACAGTGGACAGGGGTTGTTTCTTTTCCTTCTTTACCTAACCATGGTGGCTTGCAGTTTGTGAAGATTGTATATTACATTGAGGTAGGGAAGCAGGTAAGGGGATGTCTTCATGTCACTGTGACATAATTACCCTGACAGAAAAACTCAAAACAAAGAAGGATGTTGTACTTTTCAGTATGAATATAGACTATTTTCTCTGAAAGAAATGATGTGAGATTTGGTTAGTTCAAATGCCTCCATCTCTTCTACACTCTTTCTAATGCTCAGAGAACCATGCTGACCAGATAGCACACAATGACTCAGACTCCAAGCCATTCTATACACTGATGTTATGATGCAGTTGTGGTGGGCGTGGGGGAATGCTCCCCTCCAATTGATATATTCTGGGTAAGACTTCAAACCCAAGTAACAGGACAAGAAGTTTGATGGCTTGGTGGTTTAATAGATGTGTCTGTGCACACCACTTTCTAGGTGATAACTACCCTCAGGATTGTCTGTGGAGCTTGAAAAGGTCCAAAGAGAAGAGAAGGAGAAAGCCCTCACTAGCTCAAAGTATGTACCTTCCCTGCTCATGCTTCCTCAACAAAGTCCAGCTTCTAAGCTACAAACTACTTTACTATTCACAGTCCATTCTGAGCAAGATACATAGTCCTTTTTACACTTAACAAAAACAACCTGTAGCAGATGTCTTCAACACATAGAGGTACTCTCAGTCATAAGGCATTTTGGAAATCATGACATGAAATCAAATTGTTAGACAATGATTATATGCATCCATTGAGTGTATTGGCTCCCATTTATCAGCCCTCATGGAAACTGAGCGTCAGTGAGGGGAAGTACTCTTCAGGCATAAATGTACCTCATCCAGAAAATAAGTATCAAAATAATGAGACCATATCAATAACTTAGTAAACTTAAGCCCTGATGTGTGTGGGTCTTTGGACTTATGTTAATGTCTTCTATAGTGCTAAAGCACTCACCTGCAATCAGCCATGTTGATGTAAAACCCAATAATGACACATGTCCTACATGTTTTCCAATCTAGAGTCTCCCATTGTCAAAATCAATTTGACAAAAAAGGAGATAAGCTTTTATTTTATGTTTTTTGCTGTAATGGTATCTATTTTAATTTTTTTCAGACAGGGTCTCATGTCACAACTTGGGTTGGCCAGGAAATACCTCAGATTAAGCACCATACACCCCACTCTAGAGTTCTAGAATTACAAGAATTACCAACTCGCCAGGGCATGCAGTGCTGAGGATCAAACCCAACACCTTCTGTATGATAGCCTAGTTTTCTATAAGCTAAACAACCTGAGCCTACGTAGGCTTTACCTTTTAAATTTGTGTCTCCAGCACAATGCATAGATGCTACCTTCAGTTTTGACCAGTGAGACAGTTAGAATTCTCTGTCAGTTGGAATTATTCTGGAGATGGAAATCAAGGGTTCCTCCATAATTTCTACCCATATCTTGATATGGTAGGAGTCAGTATACCTCATATCTGGGAACACATTTTGTTCTTGTACTCCCTAGCTAGACATCTTGGTCACATGTCTTCCTGCCGTGGTATGTTCTTCTTTCATAGGGTATATGTTGGGGAATGAATCCATCATACATATCTGTGTTGAGTTTTAGTTAATGTGGAGAAAGTGTGAACTCTTCAATTTTTCATTGCCAATAGAAATGTCTTGGAAAATCAAGAAGCTATCTTTGGAGGAAACACATATGCAGGTATTACGTGATACACAAAATCCCAAGGTGACTGGGGTAAATGAGAGAGAACTAAAGACACATCACCATGATGTGTCTCTTGGAATATTGAGTGTTTTAAGCTAAACCTGCCATTCTTGTGGCTATCAGGTCACTCTGAAAACAGTGGTGCAATAAGTATATAAAGTATATAATTCTTATCTACTGTGTGACTTAAGAGAGTCATTCCAGGATACATACAGCATCTGTTCTTCTTTGACTGGACCTGCAATGCAGAGGAAACACTCTTAGGCTCGGATATTACTTAGTTATTTGGCTCTTCTAGTGACTTGGGACAGTTGTATATAGGATGGGAAAGAGTGGCCAAGTGAAAAATTCTCTACTTTTCTGTTGTGTGATACTGTTACAAAACACCTGAGGTTGGGTGTGTGAAAAAAAAGTATTTTTCACATTCTTGACCATTTAGCCCCAATCTGGCAAACTTGCCTCTTTGTCCTTTACAAAAGGTTTCCTGAAAGCTACACTGAAACATGGCAGAGAAATATTATGTCAATCTGGTACTGTGAGAATAATCCCTATTAAGGGGTTCCTCTGTGTCCAGATTATTTACTCAAACTTCATGCTTTAAAGATCTCAACACCTCAATGTCCTTATAATGGACATTAAATCTTTTACAACATCAATAATTGGGAAAATACCAAATGCCTTAACCTCAGGAAGTCCTCTGAAGAAAGGTAAGAAGACACTTAGGAAAAAAACTTTTCACAGATTACGTGTGCCAACTTTTGAGTGAAAATCACTGAAGTTTTAATATGTAAAAGCTGTGGCACTGGCATTTTTGTAGATATTCCTTCATCAAGAGTTGCTTGATCCTGTTCCATTTCCTCCTTTCACTTAGAAAATACTCAAATACCTCTAGTGTAGGTTATGATGTGGTAAAAAATATAAAGAATTCCTAAAACTAACTTTTCTGTCTTCAAAAAGGGAAACAGAGTTTACCTTAATTGGTGGTGGATTTATCTTCTCTTTAGGGATAGTCTTCCTCTGGTCCTTGTCAGACAGAACTAGGAGAACGCAAAATAACTCTGAGATCATGGTACCATTTATTATATCTCAGGGGCTTTTGAACTGATATGAACAGAGTTCTGTGGATTTAATATAAACATTTAGGCTCAATGTACATAGTTCATTACTAAACATGGTTGTGATGATACAAGAACACCCTTGTGGCTGGGGAAAAATCAAGACCTTGAGAAATGAAAAAGATACATTTTGTCCTTCTATATTATGTGAATCTAAAGCAACCTGAAGATATTTCATTGACGAGACACTGAAATAAGTGTTAAATGAGAAATTTCTAGCCAGGGTTAGCGGCCTGTGCTTTTAATTGCATCACTATAAGCCAGCATCTAGATTCTGTGTGCAATAACTATACATGATTTTCTAAATTAATTTTTGCATTCTTAATATTGTTTGCGTGTGTGTGAGGTGTGTATTTGTGCATGCCATGACATGTGTATGGGTTCAGAGGACAACTTTATTGAATTTATTTTCTTTTTCATGGTTTACATATATTATAGTAATCAAACACAGGCAGTCAAGTTGGGTTTGTCTTTTTTTCAAGTATATGAGTGCTTGTAAGTATGTGGTGCCCTGGAACTTTAGTAACAAATGGTTGTGAGCATTTGTTGAAGCACTAGGAACTGAACCTGAGTCTTCTAGAACAATAGCCAACACTCTGGGCTTTTGTGCAATCCCTCCAGTCCCTGAAGTACTCGCTTTTATACACAATGATGGTTTGTTTAAAGCACCTTCTATGCCTTTTCCACTGTGGTAGAATGTCAGGATCTTACCAAGGTTTATAACAGGTATTTGTGGTGGCCATAGGAAAACAACTGATACACAATGATTCAGTGACAGAGTCTCATCATCACTTCTGCCCAGTTGGAAGACCTTGAAATAGACTTTCTCTCTTCCTCAACCACCCAAGCAATGAATTGTTATGAGACCTTTGCATTGGATCTGACCAGGAATGCCAATAATATGCCACTACAATGAACATGGCTTTGAAGGCTTCTCTCTATATCCAAATCGTTGTCACAGATGTCCTCATCCTCACCACTAGCCAGAAGTCAGTGGAGAGAGTAGCCCACACATTGATGTCTCTAGCAGATGAAGCCATACTGCCTCACACAAGAGTCTGCTCGCCTTTCCTTTGGTTTATATCATGTTATCAGAATGAAGACAAATGTTAAATATGTTTTCACATTGTGTGGCTGAATTTTTCTTGGTAAGGTAGAAAAATACCATAGGACACCCACATTCTTTTCACACAGATGCAATATAATCACAAGTATTACTCATACTAACTACAGAATTTCCATAGTAGCAGTAGTGCTGCATGACTTTTCTGCTGCACTTCACTGTCACATGTCCACTTCCTTGGTGGCCAGGTATAGAATGTGGGACTTTGAATAACAAATATGACTCAAAGTCACATGTATTTGAATATTTGATTCTTGGTGGTGGCAATGCTTTAGGGAGGTTATGCAGCCTGTAGGACTGGAAGCATTACTTGGGGAAGTACACACAGGGTGAGGGCTTTGCAAGTTCATAGCCTCACCCCACCTCCTGGCCAACCTCTCTGCATTCTGAATGCAGCTGAAAATATCTCATGGCTTTCCTATCTGGTCCATCTACTCCAAGACTCTGCCAAAATGGACTATCACTGGAACAGAAGCCAAAATTCTTTTCTTCCACTTTGATTCTGGTGTTTTATTATAGTAACAAAATACAACTCATAGAGAAATTGATGCCATAAATGTGGAATATTGCCGTGACAGGCCTGATCATGTTTCTTAGGGGAGGATTATGGAAATGTGGAACTGGGACAGGGAAGGTCCATTGAGTGCTCAAAACTTAATAAGCTTATGTGCAGGAATTTGGAGAACAAGAGTGCTGAAAGAGAGGTAGACAAGGAGTCTCGGCTTGTGGAGTTTCAGAGACAGCAGAGTTTCTTTGGAGCTGTTTGTGTGACGTTTGCATTAAGAAACTGTGAAGTGAAAGCCTCTGCTTTACTGGGACAATGACTCCTGGATAGCCAGGGCTGGAAAATCATATGGACAGGGGGCTAGCACCACAAATGCGAAATCTCCTGAGAACTATTTCCTTTACATTAGCACACAGAAGCTCTGGTTCAGAGCAGGCGAAGCTGCATCTCAAGCTGGAACCCAAACTTGGCCATGTGTCAGTCTGCTGTGTGCTACTTGCTGCGGTGGTGTAAAGGCTGCAGAATTTAAGGGGCTTCGGGAAGAAGCTGAGGCTTGGCACCATGTGAAAGGGCCAGACTCCCTAGAGAGAGGCTAGGCAAGACCATTGGTGAATGTCCAGGCTTGGTTCCCGGGAGATCTCAGCCTATTGGAGATTGCAGGACCTGAGAAGCATTGAGTTCGGAGTGGATCTGGCACAAGTCTCCAAGACCAAGTGTAGATGCTGTGGGTGGCTGTCTGAGAACTGCGACTCTGTAAGCCTTTAAGTCCAGAAGATGAGTGATTCCTAGGTGTTGGACATTGAGCTTCTTGTACTATTTTAGTTTTGTTTTTCTTTGCTTTCACTACAGCGTTCCTCTTGCTTTTTTGAACAAAAGAGCATATAACACTTGTTTTTCTACAGGAACCTATAGTTAGACTGGATTTTTAAAGAGAACTTGGATTTCTTGGATTTCTAAATGGTGGGATTATTTGAGGACTGTGGTACTTTTAACATTGTACACTGTTTTATATTATATCAACATAAGATCTTGGAGAAAAGCAGGAAAGGTTATGATTTAACAACGGCCCGCTTATGTATCAAGTTGACAAGAGGTGACTAATGCGTTTAATCTTCACTATCAACTTCACACACCTGGGGAGAATCTAAATTGGGGAATTGCTTCCATTGGATTGGCCTGTAAGAATGACTGTGGGAATACTTTGATTGCTAATTAATACAGGAGGGCCCAGATCACTATGTGTGATGTTAATCCTCAGGCAGATGGGGCTACACTGTCTAAGAAAAATAACTGAGCAAACAAGAGAGAGGACAAATCAGTAGGAAAATTTCTTCATGATCTCTGCTTAGCTTCCTGCATCCAGGAAGCTACTTTGAGTTCCTGCCTTTTCTTCCCTTGATGGTAGACTATAACCTGAAAAATGAAAGATGTCTTTTCTTCCCAAGCTTACTTTTGATCAATATGTTTGTCAGGCCAGTGAAAACAAATTATAATATGTGCCTTTGAAAAAATGCAGGAATCAGAAAATAGTGAAAATACTTATTAATGACAGCACCAGAAGGACAACAACACAGGAAAGGAAGCATCTTTGGTTTGGCCACTAGATGATATAACTCTGGACCTGATGACATGGTCATTTCTTTGTCTAAGGAGTATGTTATCTTCCTCAGCAGGAGAAGGGTTACAAAGAAGGAGAGAATAATAAATAACAAAAAGAAAATACTTGGTTATAACATAGAGAAGATCAATTAAACAATGATTCACTAGTAGTCTTACCATTGCTTTTGCCTATTAGGAAAACCATTAAATGGACTTTCTCTGTCATCCAAAGAGACGGAATAACAACTTCTCCTATACCATCTCATTGGATGCTATTACCTACCACAAATATTTTGTTCTGTTTCTAGGTTGTCACTAGATTTATCAGTCATGCTGTTGCTATTCTCGGTGTTATTGGTATCTGGAAGAAAGTAAGTGGAGAGAGTGACTCATATATTAGTACCTGTAGTAGGTTAAACACACATCACAAAATAACAACCTCAGCTTTCATTTTTGTTACATCACTCAGTGAGGACCATAACAGCAATTTAATTTATTTATTTATTTTTTGGTTTTTACGAGACAGGGTTTCTCTATATTATTTTCGAGGCTGTCGGTCCAGCCAAGCCTCAAACTTACAGAGATCCGCCTGCCTCTCCCTCCCGAGTGCTGGGATTAAAGGCATGCGCCACCACCGCCCGGCCCATAACAGCAATTTAAATGTGTTTTTAAGTCCTGTGTTTGTACCTTTTCTCATGAATTAGGAAAATTAACACTTCACATATTAAAATAACTTTGTAAACATCTTCACAAAGAAGACACAGTAAAATGTACAACTACTGTTAATATAAATAATGGATTCCACAATATTGGTAGAGTCACAGAACTTGTGTGCTTTGTTTAGTGTCACTTGCTTGTGTGTCTAAGGGACCAGAGAATAATATGGTGATTTCAATAGGAAGTGTACACCAAACCTCATGTATTTGAGCAGTTAGACCCCCAGCTGGTGGTGGTATTAGAGGTAATAGAATGTTAAGGTCTTGAAGTCTTGCTGACCAAAGAGCATCACTGGGAGTAGGTGTTAAAAGTGGATAGCCTCTCCCTACTTGTAGTCCCCGCTCTGCTTCCTGCTCTGGTCCTTATGCTCCTGGACTTCTCCCATTATGGGTTCTACCTCTGGGAATGTAAGACATGACACTCTTAAGTAACTTTTGCTGATGACATTTTGTTATCGCAATGGAAAAGAAGCCAACACACAAGTTGGTGGCAGGAAAAGTGAGACATTGCTGTGACAGATCTGAGCAGCTTATTTTGAAGAGGACTGTGGAAGCATGTGCAACTTGACTTGAGTCATTGTGTGCTCAGAGCTTAATGGTTGGTTTGCCAGAGTTTGGAAAACAATGCTAAAAGGCAAACTATGCAGATCTGAGTGGTGAAGTTTCACTCAGGAGTGGAGACTCTATTGGGGTTATTAGCAGGTGAGAATGGGACTGGCATGAGTCTACAAGACAAGGTGTGTGTGCTGCTGCTGGTGGAACTAGAGAAGTGTGACTTGCCCAGGACACAGAATCTGAGTGAGTCACAGATACTGAGCACTGAGTGTCTCACACTATGGGATTTCAATTGTGTTTTCATTGTAACTATGCCCTGATTCTTCTTTCTAAAGAAAAATAGGCATATAACTTCTTTTATATTTGACAAGAGTCTATAATTAAGAGACATTGGATTTTTAAAGAGAACTTGGGCTTTTAAATGGCTGAAATTATTTCAAGACCATGGGACTTTAAAGACTGTATAGTATTTTATATTTTGATATTAATGTGAGATCTTGGTGACAATAAAGAAAGTTATGATTTGAGTTTAACAAAAATGTGTTCATGTGTTGAGTTGATAAGGGATTATTTGTGATGGTCAATCTCTATTGTCAACTTCACACACCTGGAAAGAGTGACTCAAATTGTAGAATTACCTCCATCAGATTGGCCTGTGGGGCATATTCTCGATTGCTAATTGATATAGAAAAGCCTGGCCAACTTGGGTGGTACTATTCTTAGACAGGGTGGCCTGAAACGTATATTAAATGTAGCTTAGCAAGCCAGAGTGATAAAGCCATTAAGAGTTCCTCCATGGTCTCTGCCTTCCTGCCTCCAGATTTCTGCCTTAACTTCTCTCCATGGTGGACTATAACTTTAAGATGAAATAAATCCATCATTCTCTAAGTTACCCTTAGTTTTGTGTTTATCAGAGCAACATAAAGCAAACTATAACAGTATGATACAGGAAATAACTAATGAAAGCCTGAGTAGGACAACAACACAGTAAAGGAACATCTTTTACTACCTAGATAAAGATGATCTACATTAAACTCTGGACCAGACAAAATGGTCATTTCTTTGTCCTTGGAGAATTTATCTTCCTTTGAAGAATGGTTACAAAGAGCAAAATAATAAGAAACTGGGTCCCTGTCTTTCTACTTAGAGTCCAGATTATGTGACATGAGATGGTCAATCTACACAAGACCTTACACCATACTGTGTTTTGGTTTGAGTGTTAAATGACCCCCACAGCTTCATGTGTTTGAATACTTGTCCTCAGCTGGCGGTACTGCTTGAAAAGTGTTTGGCTCCATCAGGAGGTGGACCTTCCATAGAGGAAGATAAGTAATTGAGGAAAACATTTAGACCTTGGAGCACAGCCCCACTTCTGTAAATTCATTGCCCCCTGAGGGTGGATGCAATGTGACCAACGGGCTGCCTGCACTGACTAAGACAGCTGCCATGTCTTCTCCACAATGATGGAATCATCTCCTTAACTATAAGCCACAATCAACCCTTCTTCAATTAAAATGTTTGTCAGGTGTTTGGTCATAACAATAAGAACTAAATGTAATGATTAAATAATATAGTTTCATCATTTCTTTTTGCCCACTTGGAGACCAGCTGCTCCTAGTCCTTCGCATTGGATCTGACCAGGAATGCTGTTACCTACCACTACTGGTATTATAAACAAGCCGGGCGGTGGTGGCGCACGCCTTTAATCCCAGCACTCAGGAGGAAGAGGCAGGTGGATCTCTGTGAGTTCGAGGCCGGGCTGGACCGATAGCCTCCAAAACAACACAGAGAAACCCTGTCTCGTAAAAACCAAAAAAACAAAATAAATAAATAAAAATAAAATATAAACAGCTGATATGATGCTACCATAATCCATGTCATTTTCAGAGTCAAATTCATCGAGATAATCAGTATCTAGAAAAAATTAGTGGAGAGATGCATGTGACCAGGAATGACTACCAAGATCATTGCTTTGAAGGCTATTCTCCTTACCAGATTCTTCTTTGATGGGATCAGCATCTATATCACTGGTATCTAGAAAAAAAGTTAGTGGACAGATGCATGTGACCAGGAATGACCTACCACCACCAAGATTATCACTCTGAAGGCTGTTCTCCTTACCAGAGGCATCTTCGCTGGTGTCATCAGTCGCATCATAGGTATCTGGAAGAAAGTCAATGGAGAGATGGGTGTGACCAGAAAAGACCTACCACCACACCAAGATCATCACTCTGAAGGCTGTTCTCCTTACCATATTCATTTTCGCTGGTGTCATCAGTTGTATCATAGGTATCTGGAAGAAAGCCAATGGAGAGATGAATGTGACCAGAAATGACCTACCACCACACCAAGATCATCACTCTGAAGGCTGTTCTCCTTACCAGAGTCATCTTCTGTATTTTCAACTATATCATTAGTATCTGGAAGAAAATCAGTGGAGAAATGGATTTTTTTTTCAAGACAGGGTTTCTCTGTATTGCTTTGGAGCCTGTCCTGGAACTCGCTCTGTAGACCAGGCTGGCTTTGAACTCACAGAAATCTGCCTCTGCCTCCAGAGTACGGGGATTAAAGGCATGTGCTACCAACTCCCTGCTGATAGATGGATGTGACCAGGAAGGATCTACCACCACCAAGATTATCACTTTGAAGGCTGTTCTCCTTACCCAAGTCTTCTTTAGTGGTTGCATTATCCACATCATTGGTATCTGGAATAAAGTCAATGGAGAGATGGATGTGACCAGGAATGACCTACCAACACACCAAGATCATCACTCTGAAAGCTATTCTCCTTACTTGAGTCATCATAGGTGGTGATATCACCCAGGTTATAGGTATCTGGAAGAAAGTCAATGGAGAGATGGATGTGACCAGGAAAGACCTACCACCACACCAAGATCATCACTGAAGGCTATTCTCCTTACCCAATTCTTCTTCGGTGTTACCGTTGACATAATTAGTATCTGGAAGAAAGTCAATGGAGAGATGGATGTGACCAGGAATGACCTACCACCACCAAGATCATCACTTTGAAGGCTGTTCTCCTTACTTGAGTCATCATTGGTGGCAGTATCACCCTGGTCATAGGTATCTGGAAAAAAGTCAATGGAGAGATGGATGTGACCAGGAATGACCTACCACCACACCAAGATCATCACTGAAGGCTGTTCTCCTTACCATAATCATCTTTGCTGGTGTCATCAATCATATCATAGGTATCTGGAAAAAAGTCAATGGAGAGATGGATGCGACCAGGAATGACCTACCACCACCAAGATTATCACTTTGAAGGCTGTTCTCCTTACCCAATTCTTCTTCGGTGTTATCATTGACATAATTAGTATCTGGAAGAAAGTAAATGGAGAGATGGATGTGACCAGGAATGACCTACCACCACCAAGATCATCACTTTGAAGGCTGTTCTCCTTACTTGAGTCATCATAGGTGGCGATATCACCCAGGTTATAGGTATCTGGAAGAAAGTCAATGGAGAGATGGATGTGACCAGGAATGACATACCACCACACCAAGATCATCACTGAAGGCTATTCTCCTTACCCAATTCTTCTTCGGTGTTATCATTGACATAATTAGTATCTGGAAGAAAGTAAATGGAGAGATGGATGTGACCAGGAATGACCTACCACCACCAAGATCATCACTTTGAAGGCTGTTCTCCTTACTTGAGTCATCATAGGTGGCGATATCACCCAGGTTATAGGTATCTGGAAGAAAGTCAATGGAGAGATGGATGTGACCAGGAATGACATACCACCACACCAAGATCATCACTGAAGGCTATTCTCCTTACCCAATTCTTCTTCGGTGTTATCATTGACATAATTAGTATCTGGAAGAAAGTAAATGGAGAGATGGATGTGACCAGGAATGACCTACCACCACCAAGATCATCACTTTGAAGGCTGTTCTCCTTACTTGAGTCATCATAGGTGGCGATATCACCCAGGTTATAGGTATCTGGAAGAAAGTCAATGGAGAGATGGATGTGACCAGGAAAGACCTACCACCACACCAAGATCATCACTGAAGGCTATTCTCCTTACCCAATTCTTCTTCGGTGTTACCATTGACGTAATTAGTATCTGGAAGAAAGTCAATGGAGAGATGGATGTGACCAGGAATGACCTACCACCACCAAGATCATCACTTTGAAGGCTGTTCTCCTTACTTGAGTCATCATAGGTGGCGATATCACCCAGGTTATAGGTATCTGGAAGAAAGTCAATGGAGAGATGGATGTGACCAGGAATGACATACCACCACACCAAGATCATCACTGAAGGCTATTCTCCTTACCCAATTCTTCTTCGGTGTTATCATTGACATAATTAGTATCTGGAAGAAAGTAAATGGAGAGATGGATGTGACCAGGAATGACCTACTATCACACCAAGATCATAACTCTGAAGGCTGTTCTCCTTACCATAATCATCTTTGCTGGTGTCATCAATAGTATCGTAGGTATCTGGAAGAAAGTCAATGGAGTGATGGATGTGACCAGGAATGACCTACCACCACCAAGATTATCACTTTGAAGGCTGTTCTACTTACCATAGTCATCTTTAATGGTGGCATCGTCACCATAATTGGCATCTGGAAGAAAGTAAATGGAGAGATGGATGTGACCAAGAATGACCTACCACCACCAATATCATCACTTTGAAGGCTGTTCTCCTTACTTGAGCCATCATAGGTGGTGGTATCATCTAGATCGTAGGTATCTGGAAAGAAGTCAATGGAGAGATGGATGTGACCAGGAATGACCAACCACCACACCAAGATCATCACTCTGAAGGCTGTTCTTCTTACCGTATTGATCTTTATTGGTGTCATAAACCGTAACATTGGCATCTGGAACAAAGCCAGTGGAGAATTGGATGTGACCAGGAACACCATTACTACCACTAACAAGATCATCGCTTTTAAAGCTGTTCTCCTTACTGATGCCATTTTCATCATGTTCCTCATAGGAATCACTGTCATCTGGAAGGGTGAAAGTAGAGAGAGTGAGTGACACAGACCTCGGTGACAGTGGTAGGTGAAGCCATACTGTCTACACAAGAATAACCTTAACTTTTCTTTGGTTCACATCATTTGCTGAGAACCACAATAGAAGTGTGTTTTTACATTCTGTGGTTGTCATTCTACTGATGAACTAGGGAGCACATATCAAAAGAACAGTGCAGGAAATCTTCATTCTTTTCATAGAGAAAATGCAACATAATCTACAACTACTGTCCACATCAAAGTAATTACTGAATTTTCATAGTGCCATCAGCAGTGCCAAAGGACTTCTCTGCTGTACATAGTCTCCATTTCTGATATTCTGCTCTCTTTATTGGATTTGGTGTTTATAAAATCTGATATTTTTACCACACAAGCAACTGGAAAGCATTCACAACAAAAGGAGGTCAGTTGAGTAGCAAACAAAACAGGTGACCTAATAGCTTTTCTGTTTTCTGACACTTACTTCATTACTTATTTCCAAGTACACTCTTTTAATTCAGGATGTTATGTCTGGAAGATCACAGACTTCATTGTCAACTAATTGCAGGTATGGTATGGTCAGTGTAGGTAAGGTCTCAATTCATGTGGACGAGACAGTATTGGCATAAGAGTAGTGTGACTAAGGCTACACATGGACAGCATTAAAGTCATTTTAAAAAACCACATGAACATAGTGTATTTGTGCAGTTCCTCACTTAACTATACTTGGCACTATCATTAATCCTTGTGAATCTACAAAAGCAAATAATGAAAATCCCTTTTTCAAACCACTTGTCCTCAAAAATGCTCGATAGTGTTTGATCAGTACCAGAAGAGCCAGCCAGATAGCAGTACTTAGATCCACTGGTTTGTCTGTGTCTCAGGACAGTGGACAATGGTTGTTTCTTCTCATTCTTTACATAACCAAGGTATTTTACATTCATGGAAAATACATGATAGCATCTTCAGGGACAGGACTATCTACACATCTTTCTTTGAACTTGCAGATACTTTATTTAGTACTACTTCTATGCCATGTGATCAAATTACCTGACAGGAAAAAAAGAACTGATGAATGGGATGGCTTTTCAATCGCTGGCACTGAAAGAGTTACCTCTAAAAGAACAGGAATGAGGGACCTTGCTTAGCTCGAACATGTGGCCTCCTCCTACCAATGCCTCCACACTGTCAGCTTCCCCTCAGTGTTTCTAACCATGTTGGCAAATACAGCTAGGATGGGACACAGTATCCTTTACAATGGCTGTTGATGACTTGCTAGCTACTGACTCCCACAGTACCTTAGTTAATGTTCCCCACAGTACCTTAACTACTGATTTTCACAGTACCTTCAATAATAGTGCTAATGCTTCGTGGATTCACATGAGGACCTGGTCTAGATCTTTCATTGTCATGTGAGGGATGACCACGTTTCAGATTCGCTTTGATCTTTTCTGAAACAGGAATGCAAACCCAACAAAAAGAGTTCAGTCATAAGGGAAAAACAAGCGATAAGAGAGGACAACTAATTATCACTTGGAGCTTAAACATTTTTAGAATATCTTTTTTGTTTGTTTTTTGTTTTTACGAGACAGGGTTTCTCTGTATTGTTTTGGAGGTTGTCGGACCAGCCCGGCCTCAAACTCACAGAGATCCACCTGCCTCTGCTTCCCGAGTGCTGGGATTAAAGGCGTGTGCCACCACCGCCCGGCACATATTTAGAATATCTTAGCTCATTGTTTGCTTCTGGAACACCATAGAGATCAGTGTACACTTAATGTAGGCAATGCCTGGTCAAGATAGGTAACGTCTGGCATAGTACCAACAGAAAAGCAGTGTGAAATTTGTACAGTCCTGTTTCTCCACTCTTCCCACTGGGACACAGAAAAGTAACTAAGAACCCTTTGTGAACCTTATGAGTGTGAAAATAATTAACAGCAAAGGCTTAGTTAAAAGCACTGACACTATGGAAATGTCATGGCATTTGCTGAATGAAAAAATAAACATAAGAAACCCTACATGCAGAAAGGGTGCTTGGGTGACCTTAGGACAATGGACAGTGATAGTTTACTTTTCATTTTTGCACAGCATGATGTTTTACAGGTCATGGAGAACACACAGTTTTCACCTTCAGTGGACCATAGCCAGAGAAAATTGTACTCCCTACATTTCACCCTTTCCCTTTGTGACCAAATTGCCTGACAGAAGAAGAAGATTAGATACAGATGAATGTTCTTCCTTTGAATCCCTGACACAAGATATGAGTTAACAAAAGAAGTCTTTCAGAAACCTCATAGGTGTAAATGTGTGCTTCTCTCTGCCACTAGCTTCACGATGCCTCCCTGTAGTTTCTAATAGACAGACTATCTATCTATCTATCTATCTATCTATCTATCTATCTATCTATCTATCTATCTCAATGACTTAAAGGCCAGGTCATGCTAACCCAGTTGTCACTTGATGGTAGGGAGGAAAACGACACTATCTTTCAACTGATGAACTCTGAATGGACAGGACAAGATGCCTAGATCATTGTGACCTAATGGACCGAGTGTGTGCATCTCTGAGAAGGGCAGTGGCTGCACTACCACTGAGTGGGTGCCTTTCCTACTCACCCCTTCCTCGATGAAGTCCAGTTTTTACTACACAAATTTTATTTCCATTCACTGGCTACCCAGGGGCAGGACACACAGGCCTGCTTCCCTGAACTAAAACCCTCCTAGCAAATACCTGAACATACAGACACAGCCTGGTATGGCCTGCAGTCATTCTTTTCAGTGCTGACTACTTACATACACTGAATGGATAGGCTCCCATGTTCTCACCAGTCGACATGGAAACTGACCATCAGTAAAAGCAAATACTTTTTACAGCAGAGTCTCATTCATCTGTAAATGTGGCTGGGTAAAAGAATGAGACTAGATGTATACAGTATTGTTGGAGGGTGTTTTTGTTTTTGTTTTGTTTTGTTTTGGTAGACTTTGTAGACATGGGCCCTAAACTGTTTGGTACTTTGCGCTTTGAGCTCCTGATAATGAGCTAAAGCATTTCACCAGTTCTTACTGGAGTCTGCTATATCTAGAAGAAATTCATTCATGACACAGATGCAATTTGTTTTTCTTTGTTATAACTTCCATTGTTAGAATCAATGCTCTCACTAGTGGAAGGTCAGCTCTTTGCCTGCTTGTCATTTTTTGTTCCCATTTTTTTGTTTGTCGCCAGACATAGCCTCATTATACAGCCCAGGATGACCAGAAACTGTCAGAGAATGAGAATAAACACAAACTCCTTATAGATCTGTGTGCTCCCACTGAAATTTATGTGGTATTAAAGATCAAATGACGGCCTCCTACATCATAGGTAGGCCCTTTATCAAATGAGCTATTTTCCCAGCACATGTGGGCTTCCTCTGTCTTTCACACTTGTGAAGTCTGCACCCAGGCACATGGATGCTAAAATGTGTTTTATTGTTGCTGTTATTTTGTAGCTCTGGAGATTTGATTTATTCAAGGTATACCTAGGGGCTTTAACCTTTCTACAGTGACTAATGGTATCTTAATAGAGTAGTAAGTGGAAATTTCATCTCATAGCACTGATGGACCCCAAGTTTATATAAACAGTGTTCATCTTGGTCTATGTGGTTACACAGCTCAACCACTGACCTCTGTATCTTGGTTGATTCTTCTACGACAGACTACACAAGGTAATAATGCCAGCTTGCATGGCTGCGATGAGGTCTGAACTAATGTGGGGAAATGTGCACTTTAATTTTTTTCATTGGAAGAATCGATATTGGTTTTAAGTAGTTGGGATTTCTGTCTATAAGAAATACAGATATAGACACATCCTGATGCATAAAATCTCAAACTGAGGTGATCACAAATAAATGCACACACATGGTAAGCATGCTCACAATTTGTTACTTAGAATATCACTGTGTGTGTGTGTGTGTGCGTGTGTGTGTGTGTGTGTGTGTGTGTGTGTGTCTTTTCTTTAACTAAAAGTCTCTAGCATCACTGTCAGCAGGTGGCAGAAATTCCGGTGGTGTGCCTGACAAAAGACAGACAGTACTTATATAATTCTTATCTAAAACATGTTTTAAGGAAGTAGCTCCATAATACATACGAAATAATTCCTTCCTTGACACCACCTACAATTTAGAGAAAAGAAACACTATTAGGTACAGAACAAGTTGAGTTTTAGTTTCACAGGATTTTTTTCCTCGCCTAATCCTTAGGGTAATGGTAATTAGGATGGGGAAGAATAGACAAGAAAAAGATTCTACATTAGTCTGTCACGTGATATTATCACAAAACACCTGCTCCTGGATACACTGTGAAAGAAATGTGTATCACACTTTTGCTGATTCAACCAAAATCAGGTCTCTACTAAGGATTCCAGAGACCACACTGTCATGTGGCAGAGAAATGTTTGAGCAACCTGCTCTTATGTGTCCCCTTTGCGAAGTGCCTCTATGTCCCAATTATCTACATTAAATTTCATGTTTAAAGGTCTGGCAACTTCGATGTTCCTATAATTGAAACAAGAATCTTCTGACACAACAAACTTTCAAAAACCTAACAATACTTACAGAAAATACAAATTCTTCATAAGCAACAAGTCAGCTGCCTTTGAAAATATTTATTCATGTTATGTGTGCTCAAGTATTTGTATGTGCACCACATGTATGCAGGAGCCCCCAGAGGCCAGAAAAGGGTGTCAGATCCTCTAGGACTGGAGGTACAGATGGTTGTGAATCACATGTGAGTGCTTGGAATCAAACCCAAGTCATTTGGAAGAGCAGCATTGCTACCACTGAGCCATTGCTACAACCCCATCTATTACCTTCTGAGTAAAAATTACATGGCTTTAAATACAAAAAGGAACACTTGTTCAGGAAGAAAAGGCCTCCTAAAACACAGCCAACAGTGATGTTTTGAGTCAGGGATGACTTGGTACACTTTCATTTCGCTCACTTCCTAAGTAAACAACTTAATACATACAGTGCACATGCTCTCTCTTATTATCCAAATATGGTATCAAAAAATAAGGGGATCATGAAAGTAGCCTTTCTACCGTAGAAAACATAATGCCCATCTTACTTTTGGTGACCTTGCCGACTCTCGTATGTCTGTCTCCTGGCTCTCTGTTGGGAAAAATAGAACACAAAATAAGAGCTCAGGCTACAATCTGTAATTGCTCAGAGATCTTTGCTTTATATGGACCAAGATCTATGAATTTAGTCCATGTGAATGGGCACAGTTCTTTGATAAGCATGATTGGACTACTGCTGGAATGTCCTTTTCCATGGGAAAGGAAAAGTGGGAAAATACAAGAAGAAAAGTAAGGTACAATGGTTTGGGCCCCTCTAAGTAGTGAAAATCTAAGACAATGTACAATAGTCTGTGCTTGACTGGTAACCACTAAAATGAATCTTAACACAAAGGAGCTCTACCATGATTTCAGAACATTGCAAAGCCTAAGAAGATTGATAATCCTTTCTAGGCATTTCTCACACCCATGTCCATGCCCACAAAATGAAACACACAGAATTTGCGTTTGTTGTTAAGCAAATGGGAATTTAAACGTGAGAATCCACCCTCATTCGGAACATGAGGGGATAATGGGGGGGTTGGGGGTAGGGCACAGGAGGAGCGGTGGGAACGGGAGAGGGACCTGGAACTGATTTGTGAAGCAACCTTTTTTCTAATCTAAATTAAAACTTAAAAATAAAAATTAAAAAAAATGTGAGAATCTACACACTGTACTAGGGAAATAGATTTGGTAGCAGGCACAAGATGTCATTTTCAACATCTTCCTCATAGGAATCACTGTCATCTGGAAGGGTGAAAGTAGAGATAGTGAGTGACACAGACCTCGGTGACAGTGGTAGGTGAAGCCATACTGTCTACACAAGAATAACCTCAACTTTTCTTTGGTTCACATCATTTACTGAGAACCACAATAGAAGTGTGGTTGTCGTTCTACTGATGAACTAGGGAGCACATATCAAAAGAACAGTGCAGGAAATCTTCATTCTTTTCATAGAGAAAATGCAACATAATCTACAACTACTGTCCACATCAAAGTAATTACTGAATTTTCATAGTGCCATCAGCAGTGCCAAAGGACTTCTCTGCTGTACATAGTCTCCATTTCTGATATTCTGCTCTCTTTATTGGATTTGGTGTTTATAAAATCTGATATTTTTACCACACAAGCAACTGGAAAGCATTCACAACAAAAGGAGGTCAGTTGAGTAGCAAACAAAACAGGTGACCTAATAGCTTTTCTGTTTTCTGACACTTACTTCATTACTTATTTCCAAGTACACTCTTTTAATTCAGGATGTTATGTCTGGAAGATCACAGACTTCATTGTCAACTAATTGCAGGTATGGTATGGTCAGTGTAGGTAAGGTCTCAATTCATGTGGACGAGACAGTATTGGCATAAGAGTAGTGTGACTAAGGCTACACATGGACAGCATTAAAGTCATTTTAAAAAACCACATGAACATAGTGTATTTGTGCAGTTCCTCACTTAACTATACTTGGCACTATCATTAATCCTTGTGAATCTACAAAAGCAAATAATGAAAATCCCTTTTTCAAACCACTTGTCCTCAAAAATGCTCGATAGTGTTTGATCAGTACCAGAAGAGCCAGCCAGATAGCAGTACTTAGATCCACTGGCTTGTCTGTGTCTCAGGACAGTGGACAATGGTTGTTTCTTCTCATTCTTTACATAACCAAGGTATTTTACATTCATGGAAAATACATGATAGCATTTTCAGGGACAGGACTATCTACACATCTTTCTTTGAACTTGCAGATACTTTATTTAGTACTACTTCTATGCCATGTGATCAAATTACCTGACAGGAAAAAAAGAACTGATGAATGGGATGGCTTTTCAATCGCTGGCACTGAAAGAGTTACCTCTAAAAGAACAGGAATGAGGGACCTTGCTTAGCTCGAACATGTGGCCTCCTCCTACCAATGCCTCCACACTGTCAGCTTCCTCTCAGTGTTTCTAACCATGTTGGCAAATACAGCTAGGATGGGACACAGTATCCTTTACAATGGCTGTTGATGACTTGCTAGCTACTGACTCCCACAGTACCTTAGTTAATGTTCCCCACAGTACCTTAACTACTGATTTTCACAGTACCTTCAATAACAGTGCTAATGCTTCGTGGATTCACATGAGGATCTGGTCTAGATCTTTCTCTGTCATGTGAGGGATGACCACGTTTCAGATTACTTTTGGTCTTTCCTGAAACAGGAATGCAAACCCAACAAAAAGAGTTCAGTCATAAGGGAAAAACAAGCGATAAGAGAGGACAACTAATTATCACTTGGAGCTTAAACATTTTTAGAATATCTTTTTTGTTTGTTTTTTGTTTTTACGAGATAGGGTTTCTCTGTATTGTTTTGGAGGTTGTCGGACCAGCCCGGCCTCAAACTCACAGAGATCCACCTGCCTCTGCTTCCCGAGTGCTGGGATTAAAGGCGTGTGCCACCACCGCCCGGCACATATTTAGAATATCTTAGCTCATTGTTTGCTTCTGGAACACCATAGAGATCAGTGTACACTTAATGTAGGCAATGCCTGGTCAAGATAGGTAACGTCTGGCATAGTACCAACAGAAAAGCAGTGTGAAATTTGTACAGTCCTGTTTCTCCACTCTTCCCACTGGGACACAGAAAAGTAACTAAGAACCCTTTGTGAACCTTATGAGTGTGAAAATAATTAACAGCAAAGGCTTAGTTAAAAGCACTGACACTATGGAAATGTCATGGCATTTGCTGAATGAAAAAATAAACATAAGAAACCCTACATGCAGAAAGGGTGCTTGGGTGACCTTAGGACAATGGACAGTGATAGTTTACTTTTCATTTTTGCACAGCATGATGTTTTACAGGTCATGGAGAACACACAGTTTTCACCTTCAGTGGACCATAGCCAGAGAAAATTGTACTCCCTACATTTCACCCTTTCCCTTTGTGACCAAATTGCCTGACAGAAGAAGAAGATTAGATACAGATGAATGTTCTTCCTTTGAATCCCTGACACAAGATATGAGTTAACAAAAGAAGTCTTTCAGAAACCTCATAGGTGTAAATGTGTGCTTCTCTCTGCCACTAGCTTCACGATGCCTCCCTGTAGTTTCTAATAGACAGACTATCTATCTATCTATCTATCTATCTATCTATCTATCTATCTATCTCAATGACTTAAAGGCCAGGTCATGCTAACCCAGTTGTCACTTGATGGTAGGGAGGAAAACGACACTATCTTTCAACTGATGAACTCTGAATGGACAGGACAAGATGCCTAGATCATTGTGACCTAATGGACCGAGTGTGTGCATCTCTGAGAAGGGCAGTGGCTGCACTACCACTGAGTGGGTGCCTTTCCTACTCACCCCTTCCTCGATGAAGTCCAGTTTTTACTACACAAATTTTATTTCCATTCACTGGCTACCCAGGGGCAGGACACACAGGCCTGCTTCCCCTGAACTAAAACCCTCCTAGCAAATACCTGAACATACAGACACAGCCTGGTATGGCCTGCAGTCATTCTTTTCAGTGCTGACTACTTACATACACTGAATGGATAGGCTCCCATGTTCTCACCAGTCGACATGGAAACTGACCATCAGTAAAAGCAAATACTTTTTACAGCAGAGTCTCATTCATCTGTAAATGTGGCTGGGTAAAAGAATGAGACTAGATGTATACAGTATTGTTGGAGGGTGTTTTTGTTTTTGTTTTGTTTTGTTTTGGTAGACTTTGTAGACATGGGCCCTAAACTGTTTGGTACTTTGCGCTTTGAGCTCCTGATAATGAGCTAAAGCATTTCACCAGTTCTTACTGGAGTCTGCTATATCTAGAAGAAATTCATTCATGACACAGATGCAATTTGTTTTTCTTTGTTATAACTTCCATTGTTAGAATCAATGCTCTCACTAGTGGAAGGTCAGCTCTTTGCCTGCTTGTCATTTTTTGTTCCCATTTTTTTGTTTGTCGCCAGACATAGCCTCATTATACAGCCCAGGATGACCAGAAACTGTCAGAGAATGAGAATAAACACAAACTCCTTATAGATCTGTGTGCTCCCACTGAAATTTATGTGGTATTAAAGATCAAATGACGGCCTCCTACATCATAGGTAGGCCCTTTATCAAATGAGCTATTTTCCCAGCACATGTGGGCTTCCTCTGTCTTTCACACTTGTGAAGTCTGCACCCAGGCACATGGATGCTAAAATGTGTTTTATTGTTGCTGTTATTTTGTAGCTCTGGAGATTTGATTTATTCAAGGTATACCTAGGGGCTTTAACCTTTCTACAGTGACTAATGGTATCTTAATAGAGTAGTAAGTGGAAATTTCATCTCATAGCACTGATGGACCCCAAGTTTATATAAACAGTGTTCATCTTGGTCTATGTGGTTACACAGCTCAACCACTGACCTCTGTATCTTGGTTGATTCTTCTACGACAGACTACACAAGGTAATAATGCCAGCTTGCATGGCTGCGATGAGGTCTGAACTAATGTGGGGAAATGTGCACTTTAATTTTTTTCATTGGAAGAATCGATATTGGTTTTAAGTAGTTGGGATTTCTGTCTATAAAAAATACAGATATAGACACATCCTGATGCATAAAATCTCAAACTGAGGTGATCACAAATAAATGCACACACATGGTAAGCATGCTCACAATTTGTTACTTAGAATATCACTGTGTGTGTGTGTGTGTGCGTGTGTGTGTGTGTGTGTGTGTGTGTGTGTCTTTTCTTTAACTAAAAGTCTCTAGCATCACTGTCAGCAGGTGGCAGAAATTCCGGTGGTGTGCCTGACAAAAGACAGACAGTACTTATATAATTCTTATCTAAAACATGTTTTAAGGAAGTAGCTCCATAATACATACGAAATAATTCCTTCCTTGACACCACCTACAATTTAGAGAAAAGAAACACTATTAGGTACAGAACAAGTTGAGTTTTAGTTTCACAGGATTTTTTTCCTTGCCTAATCCTTAGGGTAATGGTAATTAGGATGGGGAAGAATAGACAAGAAAAAGATTCTACATTAGTCTGTCACGTGATATTATCACAAAACACCTGCTCCTGGATACACTGTGAAAGAAATGTGTATCACACTTTTGCTGATTCAACCAAAATCAGGTCTCTACTAAGGATTCCAGAGACCACACTGTCATGTGGCAGAGAAATGTTTGAGCAACCTGCTCTTATGTGTCCCCTTTGCGAAGTGCCTCTATGTCCCAATTATCTACATTAAATTTCATGTTTAAAGGTCTGGCAACTTCGATGTTCCTATAATTGAAACAAGAATCTTCTGACACAACAAACTTTCAAAAACCTAACAATACTTACAGAAAATACAAATTCTTCATAAGCAACAAGTCAGCTGCCTTTGAAAATATTTATTCATGTTATGTGTGCTCAAGTATTTGTATGTGCACCACATGTATGCAGGAGCCCCCAGAGGCCAGAAAAGGGTGTCAGATCCTCTAGGACTGGAGGTACAGATGGTTGTGAATCACATGTGAGTGCTTGGAATCAAACCCAAGTCATTTGGAAGAGCAGCATTGCTACCACTGAGCCATTGCTACAACCCCATCTATTACCTTCTGAGTAAAAATTACATGGCTTTAAATACAAAAAGGAACACTTGTTCAGGAAGAAAAGGCCTCCTAAAACACAGCCAACAGTGATGTTTTGAGTCAGGGATGACTTGGTACACTTTCATTTCGCTCACTTCCTAAGTAAACAACTTAATACATACAGTGCACATGCTCTCTCTTATTATCCAAATATGGTATCAAAAAATAAGGGGATCATGAAAGTAGCCTTTCTACCGTAGAAAACATAATGCCTATCTTACCTTCAGTGACCTTGCCGATTCTTGTGAGTCTTCCTCCGGGCTCTCAGCTGGGAAAAATAGAACACAAAATAAGAGCTCAGGCTACAATCTGTAATTGCTCAGAGATCTTTGCTTTATACGGACCAAGATCTATGAATTTAGTCCATGTGAATGGGCACAGTTCTTTGATAAGCATGATTGGACTACTGCTGGAATGTCCTTTTCCATGGGAAAGGAAAAGTGGGAAAATACAAGAAGAAAAGTAAGGTACAATGGTTTGGGCCCCTCTAAGTAGTAAGAATCTAAGACAACGTACAATAGTCTGTGCTTGACTGGTAACCACTAAAATGAATCTTAACACAAAGGAGCTCTACCATGATTTCAGAACATTACAAAGTCCAAGAAGATTGATAATCCTTTCTAGGCATTTCTCACACCCATGTCCATGCCCACAAAATGAAACACACAGAATTTGCATTTGTTGTTAAGCAAATGGGAATTTAAACGTGAGAATCCACCCTCCCTGGGGAAATGAGGGCATAATGTGGGGGGGGGGGGTTAGGTAGGGCACAGGAGGAGGGGAGGGAAAGGGAGAGGGACCTGGAACTGATTTGTGAAGCAACCTTTTTTCTAATCTAAATTTAAACTTAAAAATAAAAATTAAAAAAAAAACATGAGAATCTACACACTGTACTAGGGAAATAGATTTGGTAGCAGGCACAAGATGTCATTATATTCATCCACTTATCCTTTGTTACACAATAAGATTACCAAACAGGCCGGGTGGTGGTGGCCCACGCCTTTAATCCCAGCACTCGGGAGGCAGAGGCAGGCGGATCTCTGTGAGTTCGAGGCTGGGCTGGACCGACGGCCTCCAATACAGTACAGAGAAACCCTGTCTCATAAAACCAAAAAAAAAAAAAAGATTACCAATCAGTAGAAGATGCTGACATTAATACATTTTCTAAGTTGTAACCACACATAATATAGTTCTTCTCATATTCCTTTGATATGCTATTGTTTTCCTAGTGCTGTGTGGCTGCCCAGATTCAGATCAGTGGACCCACAGTGTAGTGGGTTAGAATGAGGATCTGGCTGCTATTGACCACTCCATATCAGAATTGTCACAAGGATGATATATAACATTGATACTGGAATGTTATATTGAGTTTCTATACATCACTGTCTCAGGTGTGTAGCTCATATGGTCTAAGCATTTAAATTTACAAATATTAGCAAAAGATATGTCCAATTTTAGCTGACTTTATGGCAGGGTTGGAGACTGATTAAGGACTCAGTATCTGTGAACTAATCAAAACCATGAGTTCTTTGTGTATTCCAGATAATAATTAGAATGAATGTGATATTCATGTAGCAGTATCTTCCCTGGGAATTGCAAGCATGGGGATGAAGTGGATAATGTATACAATTTATGTAGACCAGTAGAAATCCATACATTTTCACAGATGATGGACCCTCTTTTAGCTAATAACTCCACAGCTGAATGGTGAGCCCAGGTCAACAATGAGAGTGTCACATGAGGGCCACTCATCCGTTTCTATCTTTGCCCTTGTCACCTGAGAGTAGAAGAGCTTGAATATTTTACTGTCTTTCTTTTATTCTATCCATAAGGGCATACATCTGTGCTGTTGGTGAGTGATTCAATGAATCCTCAGGCATGTTAAGTTATTGATAAACTAAACTGCCCAGTTCTGCCAGCTTAGCCTGAACCATAGACTCATGAAAATCTTGGGTTCTACATTCTAAAGTCATTGTTCTTATATGACATACTCCTACTTAGCCTGAAAGCAACCGTTTTAATTTCATGAAGACTCATGTAGAACAAGGTTAGTTAACAGTTTAAAATATACACGTATGTCGGTCTAAGTCCACACACACTGTCTACTCGGAAAGTGAGGTCAGCATTGTTCTTCAGGATGTCCCAGTTACCTGATTATAGTGAATGGAATACCTACTCAATAAGGCAGCCCCAGAACGGTAGGCACATGAACATTATGTTAAAATATTTAATATTTCAAGATCTGGAAGACCACCATCTTACATTAATAATGTATCACAAATTTGAGGGTATCTCCATTTAGCTATTGACAAAGTCATAGGAAAGTCTAAGGATCAACTTTTGAAATAACTCAAAATGAAGGGCCAGGAGAACTAAGCCACACAACCCAAGGAAACAGCATAAGACATTAACATCTTTTCAAATCTACAGATAATACCAATTATATCTGTAAATAATTCTAATCATCATATGATATGTAAACACTATATACTAATAGCTGCATGTAAAATAATGTTAAGTTTCTATGTTCCTATTCATCAGTCTTTACAATTGACCCTAGTCCTCTACTTTTGTGTATTAAAACTGACTCCACACTGAAATAGCAATTACCACTTTTGACGATGCTTCGTTCTGGAGGGAAGTAGGTTGGAAAATTACCTCTAACTGATGCCTCTGGCAATTCAGATAGCCCTCAACATGTTTTCAGTTTAATGAAATATAGATAGTGCATGTTCCTATGAATGATCACATAAATAGAAAACACATGCCCATAATTTCCTGAATGAATTTAACCTTTCAGGGGGACAAAAAGGGAATATATGTCAAAAATAAAAGATATGAACACATTATTATACAAAATACCTCAAAACATCTCCCAAGTTTTTATTCACTCCAATATTTTGTGATTAATTATTTAAATACATACAACCTAAATCTTATCAAAATATACTTTACAAAATTTACTATATTTACACCACAGAGCATCTACTAAGGAAGAGCTACACACACACACACACACACACACACACACACAGGCTAATATTGGTTGTCCACTTGACTACATCTTGAACCAGTTATAACCCAAACTGCTGGGAAGTCTGTGATCTGGTTTCTTGATTTGATTATTTGAATCAATTATTTGATTATTTGATCCAACCTATGTCAGGGCTGCATATTCTGGTGGCAACCCAGGTAAAAGGACATGGAATAACTTTGCTGTTTCCTGCTTGCCTCACTCTCACTGGTGACTTCAGCTATCCTGTTGCTGAGGCATTCCTTCACCAGTCTTAGTACCAATTTCTTTAGGACTCCAATGTAGACTGAAGACCAGTAGCTCTCCAGGAATCCTCCAGGACTCCAGTGCCAGACTGAGAATGCTGAGACATCCAGACTTTGGACTCAACCACTGCTGGATTCTCAATCTTTCAAACACGAGACAGCCTTTGTTGAGTTAGTCAGACAGCATCCCATAAGTCAATCTAATAAATCCCCTTATATATACATACATATTCTATCTATTCTGTTCCTTAGAGACCCCTATTTATAATATATAAGGAAAGGTTAAAGTCAAATAGCTTTACAGGATAATGAAATTCATGTTATAGAATAAAAGTATAAAGTATAATCAACACTATATATAATACAACAATGTTTGAAAAATAATAACCAGTCCAGCTGAAGGCATAGCATCCAGTGGTGTATATCATACCTTCGGAGGTACAGTTACAGCCCATTTTAAACGTTTACCACAATCAAATTATCACAGTTCACTTTATCCAACGTGCTAGTTGAAAAGTTTCAACGACACTGAAATTCAAAGCTGAGGCACAAGCATATGTAGTCACACAACCATGGCAACAGGGTGTTACAGAAAAGTGAAGTCATAATCCATACTGTGACATTTATCAGCTAATATGTAGGCAAGTGCGATAATACAAGTTCAAGACCACATTTATCAAGAAGTTAGTGGTTTGGCAAGATGGCTCAACTCTAAGAGTATTGTACAAACTGATAACCTGAGTTCAATCACCAAAATCCATGTTGAAACTCCCAAAAGTCATCTTCTAGTGCTGTATGAACTTTATGTACATATATCCATTCATGTACTATAACCTACTTGTACCTGTACTCAACATACACACAGTGCGCAAGTATAGGCTCACACACACCACACAATAATAATACTTTTTTAAAGAAGAGGTTATTGTAGAGAGCTGCGAAGTGCCGCACCCTTAAGATGGCGCTGGCTTCCACCTTCTGCTAGCCTGACAGCAGATGCTCTCTGTGATAAACAACTCCTTATTTGGTCAAGGCTGGATATCAGGCTTGCTTCCACGTATGTGGACCTATCTGCTGTCACCACATGGCTTACCGGGGTTGGCTGCCCAATGTCCATTTAAGCTGTGGGCATGCACTCCCCCGGGGTCAGAAGATTGTTCAAGGTTCCTGAATAAACTGCTTAAAGAAGAGTCTGAACGTTGCTTCTTCCTTGCTCTTCGAGGCAGGTGCGACAAGTGGTGGCCCATACGGGGACCCTTTCCAATCGAGTCAGGGCAGCGCACTGGTAAGTTCCCAAGGTAAGGTGGGACAAAAAAGGGACCGTGACAAGAGCGTGTTGGTTTGCTCTTCTCTGTAGGTAAAGAGAGAGCAGGACAAACGGTTCACTGAGCAGCAAACCGAAAGTAAAAGCTAAAAAGAAACATTGTTAGTTTGGCTAGCAGTGAACCTAAAGTAAAAGCTAAAAAGAAACATTGTTAGTTTGGCTATGGGCGCTTCTCAGTCGCACCCAATTTTTTTTGGCTCTGAATGAGCTGCTTCGTTAATAAATCAATCTAAAAATAGATAAATAAATAAGCCACGTAAAGTTGGAAAATACACAGAAAGTCTGGATACTGCATGCTATTGTGTTTTTCAGTTTTTTGATTGCTCAGGAAGGAACAACTGCTCAAGTACACTTGATGATAAATACTGCTGAATTAATTCAAATGCTCAGAGGCGGTGTTCGGCCTGTCTGGAGACTAGTAAAGAGTTGCCTTGAGGATCAGAAGTGTAGTGAGGCGGTTAAAAAAGGGGAGAAATGCTTTAGAACAATTACAAGAGGAGAGATCAGAGCAGGCAAACAATGAAAAGGGAGGAAAACAGAAAAGAAAGTTTACCCAGCTCTAGAAGATCTAGAAGACTCAGAGTCTATGGACTCCGAGGAGGACGAGGAGGATGAGGAGGAACTCCAAGCTCTCATGAAACAATTAGAGATGACCAAGATCAGAAAAAAGGAAAAGAAAAAACTATGACAGGAATTAAAGTGAAGGGCTGTTGCAGACCTACTGTTCCACCACCATACCCAGAAGTGGAACAGCATACTCGGAGTTCATGCACTGGATGGTCCTTTTGTCCAGGGACATGGAAGCAAGTTCATACGGAATTGCGGCTTGCTTACCCTGTGTTCCAAGATCAGCAAGGACAGAGATATCATGAGCCATTGGATTTAAGATAGTGAAGTCTTTGGCCGAGTCAGTTCGTGCTTATGGCGTAACAGCTTCCTTTACGCTGGCTCAGGTTGAGGCTCTTAACAGACAC